TCCCAGTTTTTCAATCTGCTTCTATAACTCACTCTTTCAGTTGGATTTTATGTTTGGATAAATGGTCACTATCCTATAAAGAGCTGACTATTTAAATAAAATTATTAATACATTTGCCATTATGAAATGAATTTGCTGTTATGGAAATGAAATCAAAGTTCATTTTCTATTTTTTTTTATTAATGTTATGATAGATTACAACCTTGTGAGATTTCAGTTGTACATTTTTGTTAGTCATGTTGTGGGTACACCACTTCCCCCTTTGTGCCCTCCCCCCACCCCCCCTTTTCCCTGGTAACCACCGATCTGATCTCCTTATCAATATACTAACTTCCACCTATGAGTGGAGTCATATAGAGTTCATCTTTCTCTGACTGGCTTATTTCGCTTAACATAATACCCTCGAGGTCCATCCACGTTGCTGTGAATGGGCCAATTTTGTCTTTTTTTATGGCTGAGTAGTATTCTATTGTGTATATATACCACATCTTCTTTATCCAATCATCAGTTTCTGGGCATGTAGGTTGGTTCCACGTCTTGGCTATTGTAAATAATGCTGCGATGAACATAGGGGTGCAAGGGAGTCTTGGGATTTCTGATTTCAGGTTCTTAGGATAGATACCCAGTAATGGGATGGCTGGGTCATAGGGTATTTCTATTTTTAACTTTTTGAGAAATCTCCATACTGTTTTCCATAGTGGCTGTACCAGTTTGCATTCCCACCAACAGTGTATGAGGGTTCCTTTTTCTCCACAACCTCTCCAACATTTGTCGCTCTTGGTTTTGGATGTTTTTGCCAATCTAACGGGTGTAAGGTGATATCTTAGTGTAGTTTTGATTTGTATTTCCCTGATGATTAGCGATGATGAACATCTTTTCATGTGTCTATTGGCCATATTCATATCTTCTTTTGAGAAATGTCTGTTCATGTCCTCTGCCCATTTTTTGATCGGGTTGTTTGTTTTTTTGTTGTTAAGCAGTGTGAGTTCTTTGTATATTATGGAGATTAACCCTTTGTCGGATAAGTGGCTTGTAAATATTTTTTCCCAATTAGTGAGCTGTTTTTTAGTTTCAATCCTGTTTTCCCTTGCCTTGAAGAAGCTCTTTAGTCTGATGAAGTCCCATTTGTTTATTCTTTCTATTGTTTCCCTCAACTGAGGAGTTACAGTGTCCGAAAAGATTCTTTTGAAACTGATGTCAAAGAGTGTACTGCCTATATTCTCTTCCAAAAGACTTATTGTCTCAGGCCTAACCTTTAGGTCTTTGATCCATTTTGAGTTTATTTTGGTGTGTGGTGAAAAAGAATGGTCAATTTTCAATCTTTTGCATGTGGCTGTCCAGTTTTCCCAGCACCATTTGTTGAAGAGACTTTCTTTTCTCCATTGTAGGTCCTCTGCTCCTTTGTCGAAGATTAGCTGTCCATAGATGTGTGGTTTTATCTCTGGGCTTTCAATTCTGTTCCATTGATCTGTGGACCTGTTTTTGTACCAGTACCATGCTGTTTTGATCACTGTAGCTTTGTAGTATGTTTTGAAATCGGGGATTGTGATTCCGCCGGCTTTGTTTTTCTTGCTCAGGATTGCTTTAGCAATTCGCGGTCTTTTGTTGCCCCATATGAATTTTAGGATTGTTTGTTCAATTTCTGTGAAGAATGTTCTTGGGATTCTGATTGGGATAGCATTGAATCTGTATATTGCTTTAGGTAGTATGGACATTTTAACTATGTTTATTCTTCCAATCCATGTGCAAGGAATGTCTTTCCATCTCTTTATGTCATCGCCAATTTCTTTCAAGAAAGTCTTGTAGTTTTCCTTGTATAGATCCTTCACTTCCTTGGTTAAGTTTATCCCAAGGTATTTTATTCTTTTCGTTGCGATTGTGAATGGGATTGAGTTCTTGAGTTCTTTTTCTGTTAGTTCATTGTTAGTGTATAGAAATGCTACTGATTTATGCACGTTAATTTTATACCCTGCTACTTTGCTGTAGTTGTTGATTATTTCTAATAGTTTTTCTGTGGATTCTTTGGGGTTTTTTATATATAAGATCATGTCGTCTGCAAACAACGAGAGTTTTACTTCTTCGTTACCTATTTGGATTCCTTTTATTTCTTTTTCCTGCCGAATTGCTCTGGCCAGCACCTCCAGTGCTATGTTGAATAGGAGTGGTGAAAGTGGGCACCCTTGTCTTGTTCCTGTCCTCAGAGGGATGGCTTTCAGTTTTTGTCCATTGAGTATGATGTTGGCTGTGGGTCTATCATATATGGCCTTTATTATGTTGAGGTACTTTCCTTCTATACCCATTTTACTGAGGGTTTTTATCATAAATGGGTGTTGGATCTTGTCGAATGCTTTCTCTGCATCTATTGAGATGATCATGTGGTTTTTGTTTTTCATTTTGTTGATGTAGTGTATCACGTTGATTGACTTGCGGATGTTGAACCATCCCTGTGTCCCTGGTATAAATCCCACTTGATCATGGTGTATAATCTTTTTGATGTATTGCTGTAATCGGTTTGCCAAAATTTTGTTGAGGATTTTTGCATCTATGTTCATCAGTGATATCGGCCTGTAGTTCTCCTTCTTTGTGTTGTCCTTGTCAGGTTTGGGGATCAGAGTGATGTTGGCTTCATAGAATGTGTTAGGGAGTTCTCCATCTTTCTCAATTTTCTGGAACAGTTTGAGGAGAATAGGTATTAAGTCTTCTTTGAATGTTTGGTAGAATTCTCCAGAGAAGCCGTCTGGTCCTGGACTCTTGTTTTTGGGGAGGTTTTTGATTACCGTTTCTATTTCCTTACTTGTGATTGGCCTATTCAGATTCCCCATTTCTTCCTGATTCAGTTTGGGGAGATTGTAGGAGTCTAGGAATTTGTCCATTTCTTTGTGACTTGGTTATTCTTATTCACAGGGTAATTCTCGGAAGCTGTTTGAGAAGTCAGGGCCTCTGTAAGCCACTGTGATGACCTATATAACACTTGTCTAAGCTTTCTAAACTCACACTGTGTCGTTCCGGAGCCTTGGAAGACAGAGGGGCCATCAGGCCGCGTTGCCTCCTGTGAGCGCTTTCTGGCGTTGTCTTGTTCTCCAGAGCTGGTGAAGGCTTCGTATGGGCAGTGGCTTTGAACCTGTCAAATTATGTCTAAAAATGCCCGTGAAAGTTTCCCGTACGTGGAGAAGGACTGTAGCACGTGAGCAGGAATGTCTGGCTTGTTCAGCGCTGGGGGAGATTAAATGACTTACGTTGGTGTCACAATCCAATGTCCTAAGAATAAATGCCCAAAGCAGAAAATTAGTTCATCAGACCTGCCTGTAATTTCTGCCTTTAGCTTAAATGATCCAATGAAAGAGTATTTGATACTAAGGAATTTATTCGTTGTTAATGAAGCGTCAACCGATAGTACCTTTGACAGTAAGTCTAAATCAGCGTACTAGTCCCCCTTATCTGTGGTGTCACTTTCCGAGATTTCAGTTACCCGTGGTCAGACACAGCCTGAAAATATTAAATGGAAAATTCCAGAAATAAACAATTCATAAGTTTTCAAATGTTCCCCATTCTGAGTAGGCTGATGAAATCTCGCACTGTCTTGCTCCATCCCGCCCGGGATGTGAATTCTCCTTTTGTCCAGCATACCCACACTGTATACGCTTCCTGCCTGTCGGTCACTTAGTCACTGTCTCAGTTATCAGTATATCGTTATAATTGTCCTGTTTTATTGTTAGTTATTGTTGTTAATCTCTTACTGTGCGTAATTTATGAATTAAACTTTATCATAGGTATGTATGAATGGGAAAAAACACAGTATGTATAGGATTCGGTACTCCCCATGGTTTTGGCATCCACTGGGGGTCTTGGAACTTATCCCCCACGGATAAGCAGGGACTACTGTGTGTTTAAGATAAAAACACATTTGAAAACCAAATGTTAGTTTGGTTGTATTGTGGAAAGCTATTTCTATGTATAGCTTTAAACAAAGCCTAAGTGATATAAACTAAATCAATAGAGTTGTTAAGAAATTGTCTCCATGTGTATGTTTTAAGCAGGAGTATGTCTCCAAACCTTTTAAACAGAGCATCCCCACTTGCTTTCAACACTGCAAATTCGGGCGTTGGTGCCGACTGCCCAGACCCATTTGCCAACGGTGCTGACATCCAGATCAGCAACATAGACTACAGATTATCCCGGAAGGAGCTGCAGCAGCTCGTGCAGGAGGCCTTCTCCAGGCACGGCAAGGTAACCAGCCCCTCTCGTCCTTGCCTTCGTTTTGCCCTTTGCTGGCACGTCAGGTCGAGAGAATGTAATTCAACATGCATAACCACAGCCAGGACGTGAGTGTTACTGAACCAGTTTGAATCCTTCCTTTTTCACCTGTTCTGCTCGTGGTGCTGCTGTCCGTCCAGTTCTCAGGCACAGCCCCAGAGAGCAAGAAGCTGAGCAGAGAAGCACCTGTGATCACGGGCAGAGACTTAAATGGCACTGTGGGAAATAAAACACTGATAGTTTCCGTTAGCTCTGCCTCCTAAAATACGGAAATAGGATTCTAAAATAACATTGCCTGTTTTTGTTAATATCTTTCTGTATGTGATTCCGTTTTTAGGTGCAGTTTGCTAAAAATGCACCTCTCCCACATTCTTTTTTTCATTTATTTTTTCTTTTTTTCTTTCTTTCTTTAATTTTTTTTCCTTTTTCTCCCCAAAGTCCCCCGGTACATAGTTGTATATTCTTCGTTGTGGGTCCTTCTAGTTGTGGCATGTGGGACGCTGCCTCAGCGTGGTTTGATGAGCAGTGCCATGTCCGCGCCCAGGATTCGAACCGACGAAACAGTGGGCCGCCTGCAGTGGAGCGCGCGAACTTAACCACTCGGCCACGGGACCAGCCCCTCCCAGATTCTTAACATGGCTATGCCCCAGGTTTTTGCAGGGTCTGGAGAGTACCCCAAAGACTCCTCGCGTGTGTTGGCCCCTGAGCCTCCCTCAGAGAGCTCTGTGGGCCCTGGCGCACAGGCAGGCCAGGCCAGTGTCACGTGCCTGAAGGTCACCCGTTGCAGGTCACTTAGATTCTGGTTGGCAGACCTGCAGAGTTCAGACCAGTCCCCTCCCGGAAGCACTGACATCCACAAGCATGGTCCCTCTGATTCTCCTTCAGTTCTAAGATGACGAGGTTCTCAATAGACAAAGCGTTCCATTGCCTTTTTACTGCTGCAGGTGAAGAGTGTTGAGCTCAGCCCGCATACGGATTATCAGCTCAAGGCTGTTGTTCAGATGGAAAATTTACAAGAAGCCATCAGCGCGGTGAACGGCCTCCACAGATACAAAATTGGCAGCAAGAAGATCCTGGTCTCACTGGCCACGGGAGCCGCTAATAAATCACTCTCTTTACTGAGGTAAAAACAAGCAAACAGTTTATTTCAGGAAATAACATTTTGGCCCAGGAAAAATTTTGAAAATAATAAAAAGAGATTTTATCACATTTCCAACCGTCTTTGATGATTACATAAGCAATCATACTTAATGCTTTATGGGTAGAGTTAGAAATATGCTAGAACTTAGAAATAATACGTGAGAAATAAGCTAATTAGAGTAATTTGACTGTGGTTCAAGTCAGTAATCAAAGGTGAAGTGCAGCTCAGACTTGGCAGGCACTTAGGAGTAAAGTAATACGCCACATCCAGAGCAGGTTCCAAAAATAGCAGACCTCTGTAATAAAAGTGCAGAAGCCTGGAAAGTCTGAAATATTACCTTCCAATCTTAGTAGAAGACAGATTTGCCTATAAAGGCTAGCTCTACAGAGCTCCAAGCTGTCGACTTGCAGATGCATCCTTAATGTCAGATAAACACCCGCCCGATAAGTCCACGTTACGACTACGCCCATCTTAGGAATCCGGTGGTGATTTTATTCATAACACAGTTTGATTCCTCTCTCTTCTCCCTGTTTTAGGGGGAACTAGTAAACAGGACTCACTCCTGAATATCTGGGCTCTCAGAGATCTTTTCTCTGACGTGTACTTCACCGTTATTTTAAATTATGGGTTTTTTTCCCCTAGAATAAAAATGATACTCATTGAAGAAACTTTGGAAAGTTAGAGACATAGAAGCGGGGGAGGAAAAGTCATCCATAACCCTATGGCTCAAAGCCAGTCACTCTTAACAGCTCGGCTTTTCATTTTCCCTTTGAGTGTTTGTGGGTGCCTTTTTGTTTTTGAAAACCATAGTTGAGATGTCATATTCTCTTGGAGACGGCCAGGGCGCTCTGCCTCTTGCTGTGCGTTAACAAGGTGTTTTTCTCACTGTAGTCAGTGTCTTTCTGATCAGGTATGGAAAGCCCCGTGCTCGAGTCTGATAGAAATCCCAGTGTGTGACTTAGTATTCTTTAACTGCCTTGTCCCTAAAAGGTCCTTTCTTTAAGTTTTTCTGGAAAATAAATTCTGACATATCAGAAACTGGTAAATTTGGTTTGCGTATACATTCTGTTAATCAATTTTATGGACTGTTTTTAAAATATAACTTGGAATGGAGAGGAAGTCATCTGTTCTCTAATTGATTAAAATTTTGTCTTACAGTGCAGAAACAATGTCAATTCTTCAGGATGCTCCCGCCTGTTGTCTGCCTCTTTTTAAATTTACAGATATCTATGAAAAAAAGTAAGTTAGGTTTATTTTTTTTCATTGATCCAGTCAACACTGGTTGGGGATTTCTGTGCGTAAAACTGTGGTAGCAACTCTTAAGAGACTTCTGGCCTGGCGGGGGAAATGAGACAGAGACAATGGTGTTCAGATTTAAATTCTGGTTTTAAAATACATTTTTAAAACTTCTTTCATATTTAGCAAATTCAGGCCTCAGTCCCCAAAGCTGTCCTTTCGCTTTTTCCAGTTGACTGATTAGTTTTGTTATTCGCTGAGTGAGCCTTTTTGAGCGTCTCTAGACTGTAAGGATGCCGGGCACTGGATCTGACCTGACACCGTATCTTCCATACCCAGTGCTTAGTGCATGCTCAGCGAGTGTTAGTGGAAAGAAAGGCTGAGGCTCTGCGGAGAATGCAGCCCTGGGAAGACACAGCCCTTGTCCTTGAGGAGTTATGTCTTGAGGAGAAGAGAAAACACTCAAATAATTTAGAACAAAGAAAACTGTCATTAAAAAGGAGTGGAAAGGAAAAAACTCTTTCAGGAAGTAGAGGATGGAAGGAACCGGAAGCTTGACCATTCTTTCGTGGATAATGGGAGCCATGGAAGTATTGGAGGAGTGAGGGGAGGGTCAAGGTGTGGTGGTGGAGCCACACCGCAGGGAGACTTCTGGGGGTGGCAGCGTCTGAGATGGAACGAACAGGGGAGGGAAGGAGGCGGAAGAGGGCAGGTGCTGCGCCAGTCCCGCCTCTCAGCAGCTGCTCTTGGAACAGAAGGAACCAGATACCACGGAAGTTTCCAACTGGTGAAACAGGCCTTAGGAACTAGTTTTATGTGGCAGGCAAGGTAAAAAGTGGGGTCAGTTTGATTTTGCATTTTTTGCTCTAGATGACGGGGAGGATGGTTGTATGGTTAAAGTAAAAGTAGGGAAATGAAGAGAGTGTGTGTAGGAGGTACAATGAGTTTTTGATCTGGTTTTGGACATAGGAGTTTTAGGGGGCTCTTGGAATATTTGGCTAGATAGTTCACGTGATCTTCTGCACATTCAGAGTCTCCCTCAGGAAAGAAGATATGGCAGTTATTTGCCTAGAGGTGATCATGAAAGATGAGCGAGCAGATAAGATCAGAGGAGAGGGAGGAGAAACAGAAGGACAGACCTGGATGGAATGCCACCAGGGACAGGAAGTGGGTGAGAACCCAGAAGTGAGGGTGTTGTCAGGAATCGGGGAGTGGCCTGCAACATTGAGGGGACTGAGGCTGTGCTGTGAGATTAGGGGGAGGAGGAGGCCGCTGGAGACTGAGAGCCGTCTCTAAAGAGTCCTGTGGATAAAATCTTGGAGGGAATGGGTGACAGACTAGATGGTGAAACAGCTGACGCGACTCCTGGGAGACCAGCTGTTTTCCTTACAGGGAAGACAGGAGAGCACAAGACTGAGGGTGAGAGCCCAAGACTGAGGGTGAGAGCCCGAGGGAGAATGTGTGTCTGCAGGAGCAGGACAGCCTGAGTGAGGGGGAGAGGACATGAGACTGGTTCTAGTGGAGAGGAAATCTGAGCGTGTCTGTAGGGCACTGGGAACACCATTGGAGCAGCTAGCTTTTAATGAGCACTTACCATGTGCCAAGCCCTCCATACATAATCACACTGAATCCACACATCAACCCTGTGAGGTTGGTGTCATCACCCCATTTTATAGAAGGGAATGCTGAGGCCCAGATTGGTTATGTAACGTGTCTGAGGTCACACAGATTGAGCCAGGATGTGTGCTCAAATCTGTCTGCCTTCAGAGCCTGTGCCTTTAAGCTTCAAGTGTGAAAGACACGAGTCAGGGGAGTGACTGAGGAGTACAATCTCAGAGGAAGTGTGGGTCACGAGGCTAAGGCACAGGTTAGGCGGGGGTAGGTGGAAAGGAATATACCTCTTGAGGGTGGAGAGCAGAGACGATGAGAGGTAATAGGGATTTGGAAGTGAAGGGGAGCCAAGTTGAACGAGGTCATATCACGTAGCTTTCCATCTCAGAAAATTAGGTGAGCTCATTTACAGAATGATATAATCATTGTCATGGGCAGTGTGCCAAAGGCGACTTGAAGGAGTGCCAAGCCTCTCTGGTTCCGTAGTGAATGAATTTATAGAATTATTCCAGTTTTACTTTCGAAGAGACAGAGAAGCTATTCTTGGTTACAGCCCTTTATTTAAACAGGGCAGGTGTTTCTGTGTAATCAAAGAAAAGTGTTCTAAGCATCTCTCTGTTCCTTGCTTTCAGGTTTGGACACAAGTTGAATGTGTCCGATTTATATAAATTAACAGACACGGTTGCCATCCGGGAACAAGGAAACGGAAGACTGGTGTGTCTCTTACCCAGCAGTCAAGCCCGACAGAGCCCCTTGGGGTCTTCCCAGTCGCACGATGGCTCCTCAACGAATTGCAGCCCAATTATATTTGAAGAGTTGGAATATCATGAACCTGTCTGCAGGCAGCATTGTCCCAATAAGGATTTCAGGTAGAACGCTCAGTTCACTTTAGGAATAACCCTTTTGTGGAGGGTCATGGAATATCTGTTAGAATTACCTTGCGAGTGTTTCAGATCGCTGAGAAATGTCAGCTAACTGTTTTGTTCTCTTTTCTGCAGTGAACATGAATTTGACCCAGACTCCTATAAGATTCCTTTTGTGATTGTCTCTTTGAAGACGTTTGCGCCCCAGGTTCATAGTCTTCTGCAGACACACGAGGGCACTGTGCCTTTATTAAGGTGAACACGTCAAAGCCATTGTGATACGATGCCTTAGTTGTCCCCTCTGTAGAGAGTCTGCCCTCTGCCCACACCTCTCCCCAAGTATTGTAGAATGCTTCGTCCTCCATTTGAGCCTTGCTAACAATTCGTCTATCTGAAATGGGATTCATTGATTCAGTACTTCAACAGAAACATTTATGCTGCATTTTAGAAACATACATAGGAATAGGACAGTTTCTTTTCCACAGAGACAAGATGATTACAAGTGCTATACTGGAAGTCTGCACACGTGCTACAATAGTGTACACAGCCTCAGGTAGTGGTAGACTGCACAATTTGGGAGCGAAAGGCATTCCTCAGAAGTCCATTGACCACTCATGGGCCACGTGGTAGATCGGATCCAGGGGCCACTACAGGACTAAGGTGCCTTAAGGCCGCCGATACGGTAAAGCAGATAGAGAAATGCCCAGTGGTTGCCTCCCTGGGACCCTCAGTTTCCTCCAGATCGTGGGCATTTGAACAGAAATGAGTCGTAGTGGACACATCCACGTAAAGCTTTGTTTAGCAGGCGTTTCGCTTTTCCATCCTTTCAGTTAACCTTTTGCTTTCCACTTCAGCTTTCCAGATTGTCACGCCGCAGAGTTCGGTGAACTGGAGGTAGTGCAGGAAAACCAAGGGGGTGTCCCCTTAGAGCACCTCATCACCTGTGTTCCAGGTGTGCACATTGCCACCGCGCAGAATGGCGTCAAAGTGGTTAAGTGGATTCACAACAAGCCCCCTCCTCCCAACACAGGTGGGTGTCAGGATTGTTCCTGCTCAGCCGCGTCTCCTGCCCGTGGAGGCTGTTGGCTTTCGTCTCAGCAGCAGCACCATTCGCCAAGCGCAGAGCGCCAGGGGGGTCTCTTCTGACCTTTTAACGACTCTGTAAGCTGCTGAAGGTTTGGCAGAGCTAGACTTTTTGGCAGTATTAGCATAAGTCATGTAAAATTTAAAACCCGAATTCCTCAGTTATCAATCTCTTTAGCTACCTAATTTTCTGAAGCTTTTTGACAATTTGGCTGGCCTTTAAAGAATAGTTCCAAGTATTTGAAGGAAATATCTCTGAATGCGATTTACCTTGACGTTCATTTTGGTCAACATTTCTGACTTTGATAAATGTGAAAAGAGATTTGACTCTCAAGGACCAGGACATTTGAACCCCGATTTGGGTGAGTTTCTGGGTTCTGGGCATCCCCGAGTTACAGGTAGCTAGTGCTGCTGTGGGAACAGCACTGTAAATGGGGGCCTTCATCTCGAAGCTCCCTTCTCTTTGGCCCCAGCACTGCCTCCTTTTCTGCTCCCACTTCCCCCTGCCCTACGGGAAGAAAGGTCAGGATAAGCAGGAGCTCTGTTTGTCCCAGGGCTTCTTACCCACCTCCCCCTGCTTTTCCCCTCCGTCCGCTCCAGGGCTGCACGTTACGCTGCCCCCTCCTCTCTCTTCCGCTGTGTCGTTAGCCCACTTGGTGTTAGAGCTGTCCAGTGGATTCCGACTCCTACTGACCATGTGGACAGCAGGGCGGAACCCTACCCGGTCTTTTCGCGCCATTCTCTCCCTTCCGGTGCTACATCAGATGATGCTCTGCTGCTGTTCATGGGGTTTCATGGTCACTTCTTCTGAAAGTGGGTGGCCAGGTCCTTCTTCCTAGTGTCTCTTAGTCTGGAAGCTCCACTGAAACTTGTCCACCATGGATCACCCTGCTAGTATTTGAAATACCAGTGGCATAGCTTTCAGCATCACAGCAACACGCAGCTGCCACCGTGTGACAACCGACAGACGGGTGGTATGGTCCCCTGACTGGAAAATGAACCTGGGCTGTGGCAATGAGAGCACCGAATATTAACAACTAGACCACCAATTAGCCTACTAGTCCCTTACAAAGGTTTCCATCTGATTATTTATACTTTTATGAAAACTTCTTAATTATATGAACATTCAAGATAAATGTGAAAACTTGTTTCTTGGGTTTCTGTCATACTAGTTTTACATTATTCCTTTCTGTGGTTTCCTGGGCAACATTGTCAGCTGCTCTGGGGTTAATTAGGCTCTTCTGGGCTACCTGCTTGATGGCCATTTATGACTTTGTTTCTGTGGGAAAGTACGTTCCACGTGACCAAGTTACAAATGGATCTTTGCAATACAACCAGTTTATAAGCTGGAAACTTCCTGTGTATTTTCCCTTCTGCTTCAAGTTAACACTGTGGTGAGCTATGCTTTACTTTGGCTACTTGACCTCAGGAAGTAGTGAGGACGCATTTGTCGGCCTGTAAATAAGTTGGGCTAGGTGGTTGATTACAGGGGACCCGAGTGGGGAAGGCGAGAAGTAAGGTGGCTTTTGGTCTCGTCTGCTTGGTCTTGATTGAGCTGAGGCGAGGGCGTGTTTTCTGGTGAAATCATGCTTTGTATCTTATTGCGTGTTCTCTTTCTCTCCCCACACGTCTAGACCCTTGGCTTCTGCGTTCTAAAAGTCCTGTAGGTAACCCCCAGCTGATCCAGTTCAGTAGGGAAGTGATTGACTTACTGAAGAACCAGCCATCCTGCGTCATACCAATTAGTAATTTCATCCCGTCTTATCACCATCACTTTGCAAAGCAATGCCGGGTATCAGACTACGGCTATTCCAAGCTGATTGAGTTATTAGAAGCAGTGCCTCATGTCTTGCAGGTAAGGAATGCTGAGAGATTGTTTGTTTACAGATGGAAATGTTCCTCCATGATTTTGGCCACCCCAGCCAGAGAAATAGGATAGCTAGTAACCTAATTAATGCCTAAGAAGGCAATTCTCAGAGCAAAACATCCTATAAAAGCTTTCTTCAGAATGCAGAAAACATATATCAGGTGCTTGTCAATCTTTGAGAAAGCTATAAATTTCCAACTTAAAGGAACTCAGGGGCACCGAGCAGCATTTTCCTTCTGATCTCTGTAGGCTGACCTTCTTCCTCCTAGCACGCCACCTCCAGAACTGTCCGCCAGCATGCAGGAGCTGCTGCACCATGCCTTACCTTTCTGAGAAATGAGTTGATGGCCAGGTACTGGGCTGGAGCCTAGCGTTAGTTCCTAAGAAGTCTTGGCCTGTTAACTCGCAGTGTTAGAACAGCTTCCCACTTGTAGAAACACTTCCCACTTGTAAAAACGGCCTGAAAAACTTTGGCTGTCTTTTAGGGACAAGATTAGTTGTCCAGACTGATAGCATGCTTTTCTTTTCTGTACTCATGACTATTTAGGAAAGAGTGTGCAGAGCACAGAAAGAGCCCCAGGCACTTGAGCGGTTGTTCATTCCGACCGTCTGCGTTTTGTTGATGTACACGCGTTTCAGAATGTAGCTGTCGTATAGGAAGGGGACTCCCTTTCTCTGCGGGCGGCAACAGAAGAGAGAGCAAGCCGTCAACAAGAGAGTCGCTGTCTGCCAAGGTCTTGTCACTAGAAATAATCCGAGTGTTTGATCTGCAGATTCTTGGAATGGGTTCCAAACGCGTGTTGACCCTCACCCACCGGGCCCAGGTGAAGCGCTTTACTCAGGACCTGCTGAAGCTTCTCAAATCCCAGGCGAGCAAACAGGTCGTCGTGAGAGAGTTCTCGCAGGCTTATCATTGGTGAGTTGATGAGAAGGAAGACAAAATGAAAGCAACTATTGTAAAACACTGTTTCTCCCCCCACATTTTAAATGACTATCTGACTTTTCTATGTAGCACTCTTTTGGAAGACTTGTCAAGTTATTTTGGCGAGTGATATTTCTCGTTCTTCACCCATTTCCGTGGTTACAATCTAGGTGTTTCTCAAAGGACTGGGATGTCACCGAGTACGGTGTTTGTGAGTTGATCGATATTCTATCAGAGATTCCAGACACAACCATCTGCTTGTCCCAACAAGATACCGAAATGGTGATTTGTATCCCTAAAAGAGGTGTGTTGACTTATATTCTCTGGAAGCCGGCTCTCTCTCAGTGGTTATTTTAACATGGGTCTCACAGGGGTGCACCTTCCCCTCCTCCTCCCTGGTTCCTCCAGAGTCCGTGGAAAGCGCAGTGTGGAAACTGCTCTGCTATGCAGTGGAGCCTAAGTTCTCAGAGCAGGTGGATCCTCTTTTCAAGAAGAAAAGCCAGCTAGTCTTTTAGAATTCACTTTAAGGAGAAAAGGAGCATAGTCAGCTCTTTCTTAGAATGCCCCTTCAGCCTGTCTGTGGCTGTTTATGCTGTAATTATCCACTTGAGAGTCAGGTCCCTGGCTGTTTCTTGTCTCTTTGACTCTGAGCTACTTTACTATGCACACTTGAGAGGGAAAGAAAACTCAAATGAATGCTTTGTTTTATCTTGCACATTTTAGTAGCTCCGACTGAGGTGTGGGACATAGGATAGACAAAACTAAATCTGTACACTGTCATGTTCTCCCACTGTTATCAGTCGCTGGTTCTTAAACGGTACTCCTGCAGAACACCAATGTCCGTGAAATCATAGTGTTCCAAAGCTAAAATGAGTAACGTCAGTCTTTTCCCAATTCTATTTTAAAAATTAATAGAAGCAAAACCCTAAGCGTTTTCTCGCCTGCATTTTTGTTAAACTTTTGATGCCTGATGTTCTGCTAGCAATTTCAACTAAGATCAGGTGAATAGACAAAAAGCATGTGAACATTCAGAAGTGTGATTTCAGGGAAATAATTTTCAGATTATTTTTTCAAGCACAGAGACCTGTGTGAGAGTCACGTTCATATGTATGGAGTGGAGGTGGGAGGATGGGGGGTGGCTAGAGAAATTGTTTCTAGCTTGGGAGATGAGATTACGTAGATGTGGATGTGTATTTCATAGTCCACCATCATAGCATCATGACTTCCTGGTGTCCTGCCCTTGAGCGAGTTTGAAAACCATCTGCAGAGAGAGGAGAGTGTGTTTGTTTCAGGTTGTGTGTGTTGAGAAGGCAAAGACGACATCTCTTGTCATCTGTGCATAGAAGTAACTGCCGTAATAATATTAAACACAAATGGGTAGGACACTGTGATTTACGGTGGTTTTATTTTTTAAAGAGCGCACCCAGGATGAAATAGAAAGGACAAAGCAGTTCTCCAAGGACGTCGTCGATCTGCTGCGGCACCAGCCGCATTTCCGGATGCCCTTCAATAAATTCATCCCCTCCTACCATCACCACTTTGGCCGGCAGTGCAAACTCGCCTACTATGGCTTTACCAAACTACTTGAACTCTTTGAAGCCATACCTGATATCTTACAAGTAAGTGAAGAAATTCGAAGTCTATTTTTCTGAACAATAGATGGGCAATTTTTTTATTTTCAGGCCTACTTTCCTGAGAAGCAGGGAGTTAGGAAATAGGATGAAATTTTGAAATATTTCAATCAGAAATATTGAAATTGAGAATATTGAAATATTTCTATCAGAGATACGTATTGGCTCATTAGTATTTTTAGGTAACTGTGGTTTTTCCTTCAGTAGAGAAATAAATCATTGTTCAAACTTGTTTTAGGGTAATTATTGAAAAAAACGATTAAGTAGTTTTCTTTCATAAGTGAATGTTCTCTCATTAGCTCCATACTTTTCATATCTCTTCTGTTTGAGGTGAGGGTGAGTATAGGAGGCTACACAGTGCTTGGCTATTAAGCTATTGCTAAGTTAAACCAAATTTCTGTTGTTGATTTTATTAATATTACTATTTTTGAGTAGAGTACTTTAATTTTTTTTTTATTTTTGTGGTAAAACACGTTATCCTCTTAACCATTTTTAAGTTCACAGTTGAGTAGTGTTAAATGTATGCACATTGTTGTGCAATTTCCAGAACTGTTTAATCTTGCACAACTGAAACTCTGTATCCACTAAAGAACGCTGAAGTGCTTTTTAGTTACCAGTTGTGTACATTTTCATGCATTTAATTCAATGAACAATCGTAATTTGCTCAGTCTCCCTTCCCTCCTCCTGTGTGTTTTCCAAGGTCCTGGAATGTGGAGAAGAGAAAATCCTGACCTTGACGGAGGTCGAACGATTCAAAGCTCTGGCTGCCCAGTTTGTTAAACTCCTTCGGTCCCAAAAAGATAACTGCCTTATGATGACAGATCTGCTCACAGAATATGCGAAAACTTTTGGTTACACATTTCGTCTCCAAGACTATGACGTCAGTTCCATTTCCGCTTTAACACAGAAACTCTGCCATGTTGTGAAGGTAACCAGATGTTTTTTTTTTCATGGACTAAAACACGTGGTGGCATAATCCTCCCTGGGATGTTTACATGTGCTTTTGCATTTCTGTGTTTGCACCTGCACTGCTTACTGGCTCACAGCTGCTGTGTCGGTCACCAGCACCTTATTAGGTAAGAGGAGAGGACCTTGGTGTGGCAGGCGAGGTTTTGGTCTTGCCTTTGTGTCCGTTAGTGGCTTTGCTGAAGTAATGTCTTTGTGAAGTGGTGAGGTCACTGGTTTATCCTGGCTGTTTGTTCTCTGATGTGTCGGTCTCAGTACTGCTGACCTGAAGTTGGATCCGTTTAGACAGATCTTTGTCTCTGGGGTTCTGGGAGACTGTGATCGCAGATCTCTTCTCCCTTCCAGATTCTGACTCACCGAAGAAGTAGGTTTAGGAACACCGAGGGCTGAGAATTGCCTTTGTTGCTGGTAATGCTGGATTGGAGAGGGTGACCTCCTCTTCCCCGCCCTGACTGAGCTCGCCCTCCCCGTCCTGGGCAGAGCAGCTGAACAGTTTTCAGGCTGCCTCCACCGCAGGATCGAGAAAACTCACTACAAGGAGGAAGAAATGGAAAGGAAAACATCCCAAGTGGGGGCAGCCCCAGTCACAGGGCTGGAAGGAGTCTGTTATGTCCTGCTCAGTTAGAGGAGGGAGAGCCGTCAGAGGAGACAGACAGGGCTGCTGAGTAGGAAGGACAGCAGGAGTGTGGGCCACCCAAGGCCAAGGAGGAGGAATGGCCAGCAGCGCCACAGGCTACGGAGAGGGCAAGTGAGACAGGGATTAAGGTGACCTTTGGACCTAGCCACCTGGGGGTGCGTGGTGTTGCTGGCCAAGTGCGGTCAACATCAGTGTGACGTGGGGACTGAAGCCACACTGGAGTGGGTTGAAGAGTGAGGAGGAGGAGGCAGGCAAATGGCGACAGGAAATCCAGACAGCTTTCCAGTGTGTTTTCTTGTGAAGGAGGAGAGCGAGAGCGAGGCCACTAGAGACGACAGGGCTGAGTGGGCAGGGGAGTTTGGGGGTGGGTTTTCTTTCCACTTGGAGAGACTGGGGCATGTTTGAGAGCCGCTGAGAAGGATCTATGCAAACAACAGCGAGAAAAGATATGGGGGTAGGGGCCTGAGGACAGGAGATGCGGGAGTTGGCGTTCAGTACAAGGAAGGATGGATCAGGTGTTATCATGTTTCGACAGAAGGGAAGGCGATGGGGTAGATGCAGGTGTAGGTACGTTTAGTGTTTGTCACCTGGACAAGGAGGAAGTTACCTTCCAAGAACTATTTTTCTGTTAAGCAGAAGGAGAGAGGAGGAAGGAGACGGGGTGCAAGATGGAAGAGCGTGGAGCAGGTCTGACTTGTCACTGTGGTGATGAGGGATTCCGGGAGGGAGCGGGGGGAGCGGAGGGCTCCCTGGAAGCGGGTGCTCGTAGGTTTCCTGTGGAGACACTTGGCCGTGGCTGCTTAGGGGCAGGCTCAGGGAAACAGATAGTGGGGTTCAAGGTGGCTCTTGGCCTGATGGGTGCAGCGAAAGGCATAGGGACAAAGGAGTTTAGAGTATTGCAGCGTTAACGAATTAATAGGCCCATGAGTGCCAAGATGGATAAAAGAGGAAAGTGAAGGAAGGAGAGGGCTTGTGATTTGGGAGGAAGTAGGAGTCAGTGGAGGCGAAGTTGAAGAGAGAGAAGAAGAATTGAACATTTGAGTCTCTTGTCTCCCTCCCCAAGATCTGCTCTGGGCTTCCTTTTTTGTGTGTGAGATGAATGAGTTATTTTGGAAGTGGGCAATGACAAGATCCCAAGTGTGACCCTGGGGATGGGTGTCTGGAGTGGAATGGAATAGAAGAGGATGCCACTGGAGCTGGGAAAGTTGAGGAACTGAAAGGCCGCGGTGTGGGACAGGTCCCTTGGATGTTCAGTTGCCCAGGACGATGGCAGTGCTGGGCTTTGGTGGGTGGGAGGACCACGCCGTGACAGAGGCTTTGATGAATAAGGACAAGTGGTTGGGGAGTTTGGGTTGAGCAGTGAAGATGGAAGAGGCTCCAGGCTGCAACCCTGGGTGCTGCTGGGATCTGCAGGGAGCTTCTGGGAAATACCGATGCCTAGACTTCACCTATGCCTCTGAGAGTCTTAAATAATTGGTCTGAGTGTGCTCTGAGCTATGGCATTTTTTCTGAGCTCCCTAGGTGATTCTAATATGTAGCCGGGGTTGAGAATCAAGAGATGTATCTGAACATCAAAGGAGCAGGTTTTTGGTTTTTCTCCTTAAAACCTGGAGTAGCAGAAATGGTCTGGGCATCTAAGAAGATGACTCAGACCCCCTGGACTTGTACGTGTTGATTGAGCAAACCCCACTCCTGAGCAGGAAATCCACAGTCTGAATCTCCACGAATCCCTAACTGGGATAAGCGGCGTGCGGGTCTACCCACCAGCCTCCTGCCTCGGCTCGGGGTGAGCGTCAGAACCAGATTCAGACACACTGATGGTCGGACGGCTCCTCAAGTGCCGCCCACCCCTCTGCCTTCAAGGATCCAAAGCCGCAGAGAGTACAGCTCATGACGGCCCAGCCTCTACTGTGGGCGCCGAGACCCGTGCTCCTGGCTGGAGAGCTGGAGAAGGGGAAGCACAAGCTGTAGTAGTAAATGTTGGTTGCCTTACCAGCGCCCGAGCAGCGTGTGTGCTGAAATGTGCCTGTTTACTTCCAGGAAGGCTCAGTTCACACACTTGTCCTCCCACAAGACCTGTGGGTCTCAGTCACCCAATGCTTGTTGCCTCACATGCTGTTTCGTCCCCAAATGATAACCTGTGTCTTTTTCACAGTTCCCCTCCCAATGTACTTAATCACTTAAACCCTTCATCTCCTTGAGAATCTGAAAGAATTGAGGAGACATGTAGTCAGACATGAAATTACCAGCTTTTTGGCCAGTAATGATGGATTAGAAGAACACGGCTCGCCTTGCAGTCAGAGTGGGCCTTCCATCGTGTCCCCAGTGAGCGGGGAGAGCCGAGTCTGCAGATCTGCAATCTGTCCGCCCCCATCCCCCCAGCACAGCAGCCCTGATTCACGAGCTTGGCCCAGTGGACGTCTTAGCTCCTCCTCCTGGGGACTGGGAAGAGCGCCCCAAGAGTGGGGTGGTATTGATGGAAGTTTCTGGTTATGCACCGGCCGGCAGGGAGAGAACAGTGTCTACTCCAGTCTCATCTGCAGTGTTGGTCTCGTGTCCCGTAGAAGCCAAAAAAGAAACCCACGCACTTTAGTCTAAGAGAAAGAACTAGAGATTTTCCTCTGTTGGTCTTATTAGCCAGAGTGGAACTGCCTGAGCTGGGTGTGGCCCAGCTTGTCCCTCTTGCATTCAGAAAGGCTACATATTGAATTGTTGTTTCCGCAGGTTGCTGACATGGAGTCTGGCAAACAGATTCAGCTGATCAACCGCAAGTCCCTGCGTGCTCTCACCGCCCAGCTGCTGGTGTTGTTGATGTCCTGGGAAGGGGCCGCCCATCTCTCTGTCGATGAGCTCAAGAGACACTATGAGACCACCCACAGTACTCCTCTCAACCCCTGCGAATACGGATTCATGACCTTGACCGAGCTTCTCAAGAGTCTGCCTTACTTAGTGGAGGTAGGCGTGCTCGTGGTTGTTTAGCATCATCCCGGTGAAAACCGTCGAACTAGGGATTTCTGGCTTCCCTAATCATGGAGATCAGAGGGCGTAGAGCGGAACAGACCAGTGGGTCACTTTAAAGTTGAACAAACTGAGACCGAGGGAGGTGTGGGCACCATGCCCACGTGAGTGACAAGCCAGGAGGAAAGCCTGGCCTCCGGATTCTTGGCCTGGGGTACTTCTGTCCTGTGCCAGGCTGGGTGTTGCTCCTGCTCTCTCTTTCTGAATTAGACGGCTTGTATGGTGGCTTCAAGTGACCTAGCAGCCAGATACAGGGCAGAAAGGACGGTAACCGGCTGGTCCCCCAGGCAGCGTTTCACGAATGGCACTTCAACGTTAGGAGAATCACAAGGGGATAGGACATGCGGTTCTTGGCAATAAGTATAAAAACCAGAGGAAATAGATAAGGTCCTAGAGAAAATTATCAAAATTGACTCGAGGGTAAAAATTAGACCAGTGACCACAAAACAGACTAAAGATACTGAAATTTTACCACTGAAAAAGGCCCAGGACCAGACGAGTTAACTTGTTGCATTTTAACAAACCTTTAAAAACAAAGAACTTCAGCAGCCTTTTAAAAACCATTCTAAACCACGTTAAAAAAGAAAAAGGATATCACTTCATTTTTTGAAGCCAAAATAATTTTAATACCAAACTTATATAATCCCCCCCAAAATGATTCTGAGTAGGATATTACCAAATAAAATCCAGCAATATAAGAAAACAATGATATACCATTGTTATATAATCATGTGATTGGTAATTAAATCATAAAAAGATATTGACAGAAACTCTCCTTGCCCAGGTTTAGTCAGGCCCCTCTGAGCCGCCTTCTAGACTAGGCCTCGACCTTGCCCCCCCGACCCCGTCCTTGGTGGGCCCGCATAGCCCAGTTTTAGGGACACTCTCCCCCCTTGATGTCTGATCCCTCTGGCCTGCCTTCAGCAAGAACCCCCCTACCCTTAGTAATTTTCTCATTTTAGTAATTTTCCATCCACTGGACACCCCCTCCCCCCTAAACCTGCTTTTGGGCTGTAAATCCCTGCTTTTGTTTGTCGTATTCAGAATTGAGCCCAGTTCTGCACTGAGGTCTCTTTTCCTCTATTCCTATCGTCCTGATTAAAATCTCTCTTCGCTGCTTTAACCGCTGTCCGCCTCTGGTTTTCTTTCACATCAAATCCAACATTTTCTAAACTCTGTTAATTATCTATTATATGAAGACTAGTTCTGGGCAATGTTAATGGATGTTCTAGAACAAAAGGCTTTCCATGGCCAGCTAAGGCTGGGAAATATCCCTTCTCTTGCTGATTCTCTGTGCATATTAAAGACACTGAAAAGGTTTATGGTTAAGAAATTGGCTTAAAATACTTGAGGACAGAAGAATTTTGGTTTTTTCCCCCTTCTTCCTTCTGTTGATGCTTCTTAGACTTAGAACTAAAGTGTTCTCAAGGCCACAGCCTTCCCTTGGAGGAGATCCTCCAGTGAAGCCCTCCTCCTCCCTGGCTTATGGCCCGTTTTCAAGTGGACTCAGTACCTTGTCACTCTCAGCTGGAGGCCCTCCCTTCTTGGGGGGGGCAGGGCTGGTCACTCCGGAAGTTTCTAATGCTGCGTTTTCTTTTGGCCCAGGTTTTTACTAATGATAAGACGGAGGAGTGTGTGAAGCTCACGAGTCTGTATTTGTTTGCCAAGAATGTGCGGTCTTTACTTCACACTTACCACTACCAGCAGCTTTTCCTTCACGAATTTTCCGTGGCCTATACCAAATATGTCGGAGAAACACTGCAACCCAAGACATACGGCTATGGTAGTGTGGAGGAGCTCTTGGGAGCGATCCCGCAGGTGGGTGTTTCTCTGAGCTCCTTGGAGAGTGTCTTCCTGGAGAGCCTCAGGCTCACCCTCCTGAACAGAAGAGTGATGGCAGGCATTTTGAACGGATCCTTTCAAAACAAACCATTTGCATCAAATGATGCTAGCGTTTCTCCTTCATTCTGCAAACCTTTATTAAATTCTTACACTCTGGGTGAGTAGGCCCACATCCTGACCTCAGAAAGGTGTCAGGTAACGGGGAGTTAGGCCCCCTGAGCAGTGAAGAGTCACTGTCATGCAGCCCTCAGCAGGCGCACAGAGGGCACCTGTGGGCAGGACCCCCTCCCAGGCGTGGGGGATCCCGGTGCAGACTTGTCAGGGATGTGTAGACGTTAACCACGTGCTGAAGAGGGCAGGGGGCACGGCGCAGCAGACGCAGAGCAATGAGGAGTAGTGTGGAGCATGAGGGGGCGCGACAGTGAAGTCAGAGTGCAGCCTGGAGGTTCTGCTCCTCCAGGTGAGCGAGCTGGGAGGAGCCTCAGGGTGGCCTGTGGGAAATGCACTTGCTGCCGTGCAGGGTGGAGTTGAGAGAAGTGGGGAGGGCAGCACGGAGCTTGGCCTTTGCTGAGGGCCAGGGGAGGGTTAGAAGGGGGTGAGCCTGAGTGAAAATCAGAGGGGAGGTAGTAAAGGACACATGGGAGCTGGATTGGGGACCAGGTGGCAAGCTCGTGGGAGCCAAGAGCCGCCACTCCCGCTCTGCTCATGGCATGGAGAGCAGCCCCGTTAGGTGGACGACTTGACTTTAAGATTAGGACCGTGGGCTTAGTTTGAGGGGTGTAGGGGAGCTCCATTAATTTTTTTTTTTTTTTAAAGATTGGCACCTAGGCTAACAACTGTTGCCAATCTTTTTTTTTTTCTGCTTTATCTCCCCAAACCCCCCCATACACAGTTGTATATCTTAGTTACCAGTCCTTCTAGTTGTGGGATGTGGGATGCTGCCTCAACATGGCCTGACGAGCGGTGCCATGTCCGCACCCAGGATCTGAACCCTGGGCCGCCGCAGCAGTGTGCGCGAACTTAACCACTCGGCCACAGAGCCGGCCCCCCATTAATTCTTTTAGAGTATGTTTAGTTTCTAGAAAAAAACACTAAGGGCTGTCAGAACTATCTTCATTTATAGACCAAAACTGGTGTTTGGGAGACGGTCTTTTTAAGAGCCGTAAACAATATTTGTAAAGCCGAATGTCACGTATTTTAAGACCACACAGTTTTTTATAAGAGGCATGTTTCTGCCAGTCTCTGTTGCTTTAAAAGGGAAAGAACAGGGGCCAGCCCAGTGGTGCAGTGGTTAAGTGCACATGTTCCACTTCTCTGTGGCCCAGGGTTCACTGGTTGGGATCCCAGGATGCAGACATAGCACCGCCTGGCAAGCCATGCTGTGGTAGCATCCCACATATAAAGTAGAGAAAGATGGCATAGATGTTAGCTCAGGGCTAATCTTCCTCGGCGGGGAGGGGAAGGGGGGAAAGAATGGGTGTAGAAACAATTTTCTTGGCATTAATTCAGTTTCTAAATTCTAGTCTGTTGAAGGCAGCACCATAGGTCACGTTCTCCCTGAATTGTAGGGTGTGTTTCCCCTTCTTTTCCACTGCTTAACCGGAGTGTGTCTTGGGTGCAGGTGGTCTGGATCAAAGGACATGGTCATAAGAGAATTGTGGTATTAAAGAATGACATGAAAAGTAAGTAAGCGCCCGTCCCCTGCCCCTCAGGTTGCCGTCCTCTCTGCCCTCTCCCGCTGACGGTGCTCTTTGTCCTCCAGGTCGTCTGAGTTCCCTCGGCCTCTCCCCCGCCAACCCCGAAAACCAGTTCTCAGCTACCGAGCGTATCCTGGAGGTGCCCGAATCTCACACAGCCTCAGAACTCGAACCTGGAGCAGGCAGCGATGGTAAGAGGGGAAAAATGAAGCAGAGCTTGTGAAACCCTGGGAGAAATGGCTGGGAGTGGGCTGGGCGTGGGTGGGGCAAGGACAGCAGTGGGTCATCTTCTTTGTTAATTAAAGTTCACATTCATGCATTTTTCAAAGCAGTCAGGTGTTTGGTTAATAACGGAGAAAAAACTGGCTTGCATTTGATAGCCTTTCATGGACAGTTGGTTAAGGTTGTTAAAGGATGTGTGCACCCCGTAATGACAATATGTCAGCCATGTTCAGATGATAAGAAGAGCATTGTGGTACTTGTTAAGACAGTGTCTCAAGACTATTGTAAGGGCCGGCCCCATGGCCAAGTGGTTCAGTTGACACGCTCTGCTTCTGCGGCCCAGGGTTTTGTAGGTTCGGATCCTGGGCGTGGACATGGCTCCGCTCATCAAGCCATGCTGAGGCGGCATCCCACATGCCACAACTATAGAAGGACCCACAACTAAAAACATACAACTGTGTACCGGGGGCACTTTGCAGAGAAAAAGGAAAAATAAAATCTTAGAGAAAAAAAAAAAAGACTATTGTAGTGGGGTCGGTTTTGCTGCTCTGGGGGAGGGAGGTGGCGCTCAACTCTGAATCCAGCAAGGACAAGGGGGGATTTATAGTCGGGGAGCAGAGCAAGAGGTTGGTAGATGGAAAGTTACCCAGAGGAGACGTCAGGCATAGGGGGATTCCTGCTAAGAGTGGACTCGGCAAGGACAAGACAGACATGGAAGGCTGGGGTCAAGGCCTCGTGGAGAAGGGGCTGGAGGAGCCCGACTGAAGTTGAGTCAAGGAGAGAGTCTGTCATAGGACATCCCTGGGAAGGACTCGATCGTAATGCGTTACTATTACTGCAAACAACCTTGAGTCACTTCGGTTTACGTGGAACCGTCTCTGTAGACAGAAATCAGCTCGCTTGAATTCCGTAGCAATTTTAACCGTATTGAAAGAGTTTTGAATCCATTGCTACATGTGAGAATTTTATCTTCATGCGACTCTGCAAGTCGTTAGAGTTAGAAGTGTCGTTGTGCTCTGTATAGGATGACTCAGTTACCCCCATTTTCCAAAGCCGGGAATGCCGCTCAGCTCCCTCCCCTGGCTGGTGGCACAGCCGTCAGCAGTGCTTATCTGCATTCCACAAACTAGGAACTGAGGTCCCGGGAGGCGCAGTGGCTTCCCCGAGATCGCTCAGCTGGGTGGCGGCAGACCTGGGACCCAAGTCTCGTCCTTCTGAGCTTGGCTCCTTTAACTACTTGACACCCCTCCTAAAGGTGGTCGGTTTCCGGTTTCCGTCTTTGGATGCTGGCTGTGGCTCAGCTGGGGCCTTGGGGGACTGCTTTTCCTAAGAACACAAATCTCGAGACCTGGCTTGTGGCATTTTTTTTTTTTCACCTTGAGTTCTTGAGTCCTTGCTGGCTTTCCGTGTTGACGGCTTGGAGAGAAAGCCCCGGCACGGCCTGTGGCGGACCGCTGTCCTGAGCACTCTCGCCTGCCTTCTCTGCCCAGGGCCCCGCCACCCGGAGCAGGAGCTGCTGCGCCTGACCACTGACTCCCCTGTGGACCTCCTGTGTGCCCCTGTGCCTTCGTGCCTGCCGTCCCCTCAGCTCAGACCAGACCCCGTCATCCTGCAGTCTGCTGATCTCATTCAGTTTGAGGAACACCCTCCGGAGCCTTCTGGTAGGATACCCTGTGTTGTTGTGGGGTTTCCTCTGTGGGTTTAAAAGTAGACCATAATGTCAGCATGTTAAACGTGGATGAAGCTGGGGAGAAACTATAGCTTTTCAGGCACAAAAGTACCTGTGTTGACTGTTGAGGACCCTCTTTTCCTGTCAGGGCTCCTCCAGAATTGGGTTCACAGCCTGAGGTGGCTTGAGGAGCAGCGGGGAGCGTCAAGCAAGGGGATGATGGGGGGTCTGGAGGGCCGATGCCGCTGGCCTGGGGAGAAGCCTGTGGAGGAGTTGGGGGGCTCCCTGGGCCCGTGCGCCCTCACCTTTGTAAGGGCAGCACGCCCGTCACCAAACCTACACGTCACCTCTGGTCTGGCTCAGGGTTGGATGGATGGCTCCAGAGCATCGTGGAGTTGATGAGGGGCTGAGCGGGGGCATCTGTGACTTGAGTCTCTGGACCCTGCACCGTGATCTGAGAGGAGAGAGGAAGCTGAGCGCATTGGGCACTGCTTCATGCCAGCATGGCCTCACTGTGTGCCCGACATGGTGCTCAGGGCTGACAGACACGGTCACGTCTTACTCTCGCCACAACTCGGCAGGTTGGGTGACTGAGGCGTAGCTTGTTCCTAACTAGAGAGGAAATTGGCCCCAGGCTGCTTTGGGTAGGAAGTGGCAGAGCCCGGATATGAACCCGAGGCCTCCTGCCTTTGTGCGGTGTCACCTGGCCTCCTGAAGGAGAGGGTGGCCCGCCTGCTCTGTCCAGGCCCCTGCCTTGTCGTCGTCCCCTGCTGTGACCCGTCGTTCCCCACTCCGCCCATCCTGCTTTCCAGGAGCTCGCCGGGCACAGCCTGCTGGCGATGGGGCGAGTCCCGCAATCCTCGGTCTTCTTAGGCAGTGTTTGGCCCACTGCCCCGGGAACGAGCGGAGGCTTTCAGTCCGGAGAACAGGAGAGGGGGAAGCGTGTCCCTGGCTTCTGATGCTGGGAGAGCTGGCCAGCAGGGAGAGCAGGGCTGTGTCCCTGGAATGCGGCACTAGCCTTGGCGGGAGATTGATCTGAGCTCCTCCGTGGGGTCGTCACCCTGGTGCGTCTGGTATCCATCAGTTCGGCCGGACACGTGTGACAAGGGAGAGAAAGATGACTGGTTCTGTCTGCCATGCCCTGTCACGCTCCCCTGCTGTGTGCCTTTGGTGCAAGAGCCCCTTGCACACAGAGTCTAAGGTGCAGCGCTACGGCTCGTTGAAGCAACGTGGCTGTGGATACAGCAGGCCAGTGACTTGTGGCTCGGCCTGAGAAAGAGCACCCGTGAACACTGCAGGAGAGCTGGCTGTGTTTGCCTGCCTGGGTTTCCGAGGGTGCTTTTGACTCTGTGCAGTTCTGCCCTTACCCCACCCCCTTAGACCCACTCAGAGTAAGGTCCTCTGTGAGTGGAATCGCCAGGGGCTCCCTGAGACCAAGGCCCCTCCTGGTCTGAAAGTCTAAGGCACACGCAGCTTCTGACCGAGAGAATGAATGCGCAGAGAATCCAAAGCGGAGGAAAATGTTTCTAAACTATTGTCCACTGATTTGTAGTCGAAAATGAAGATCTCTAAAACTTTGTAATCCAAGGGAAAGCTGAGATGGAGTTTATAAGTCCTTATGTGACCATGACATCGGCCACACAGCTAATATGTAAATTGTGGCATAGGCATATCTGGGGGGTTATTTTTAAAATATTTTCTGAGAAACTATGAGAAACTGAAAACCGTCACTTCTTGTAGGTCCTAGAACTCAATCTGTTTGTTTTTCTATGTTTACAGAAATTGGGATTTTAAGCCAAGAAGAGAAAGTTGAAACTGCAGTCCCAGTGAAGAATGAAGTCCCCGCCTCTGAGTCGAGCCCCCCATGCGTCTCAGCAGCTGGCCCAGCACCTCCCTGCCCGTCCTCGGAGACCCCGGAGTCCCAGCTCAGCAAGGACCCTGTGGAGAGCCCAGCCAGAAAGCAACCCAAAAACAGAGTAAAATTGGCAGCCAACTTTTCCTTTGCACCTATAACCAAGCTTTGACTCGTTTTGAGCATAGAATTAGGATGGGAAAACACTGTCTGATTCTGCACACAAAAGTGGGTTCAAAAACACAGCCTTTTCTGTTCACAAAAACCCCCTAGAAGCCACTTACTTCATCATTAGATGTGGAACGTTTCCATAACATTTTGTTTCTTTTAGATTGAACACAGCTTTGAGCTGAAGTTTTACTTTCCTTTTTTTTTCCCCCCCTCTCAATTTGAAAAAACAAAAAACTTGTGGCATTTGTTAAAGCATCCTTAATATGTTTGACCCAATTTTTCTGAATTATTAGGAAACATAATGGTGTTCCGTAAGAAGAAAGCAGTAGGAACTCGGCCAGAAGGAGGTGGTTTCACTTCCGTTGAGCCACGTCAGTGGGATAATCCTCCACGTAGCGTCATAGTCTCTCAGCCTTTGCTTACTGATGTTTCCAGACAGTGTTAATCAAATGCATGATGTGTCTTTGAAGCAAAGCCGGTTCAGGGCCCTGCGTGGTCACACAGCGGAGGAGGAGGGTGGGCGAGGTGGCGAGAATGTGTGTTCAGATGGGACGTGAAGGTTCCTGGCTTCCATGTGACTTGTAAGCGTGCCTCATTTTTTATTTAACTATGTCTGTAGTTGACAAAGGTGACTTCATCACAGGTCTTTTAAAATGTTTCCACTTTGGGGTTCCATTTAGAGCTTTCTAGAAAGTTGAGGATGTTTTAAGCTTCCCTTTTATGTTAAGTTCCAGTTGGATATGGAGTAGGTTAAGCAAAAGGAGATGGTCTTGGTGTCATGAAGTTCAGGTCAGCTTTTGATTCCAACACACATCACTGTGTGTCGAGAGGCAATGTTGGGAAGAGAGTCTGATTTTCTAAAATATGCATCAAATGCATAAATTACGAATCAGAGCCGAGGGGTGAGGTGCTTTAACAGGGGCGGCATCGATACTCTTTCCACTAGGAAGAGACAGAAATTCTATCTATCCATGGGAAGGCCAAGGTTGATCAACTTAACCTTGTTTCTGTAATTTTAAAGCTGGTTTTGGTGGCTGGGAAGCTTTATGCGTGAGTCTATACGTGTCCTGTCTTTTAATCGTGTCTGCTTTTACCCTGTTACTTCTCGCTGTTGGAAGCGTGTTTGAGTTTTTTGTGGTATCTGATGTTGGCATTTGGGAAAAGCCAGCCTTTGAGGGAGCACTGCCCTGTGGAATGACCTTCGCCTCGAGGCGGCTGAGGCGTCCGGTGACGGGTGGCCTCTCACCCCTCCTGGAGAAACCTGACATTTACAATGGGTTGTATTTGTTGGGCAAAAAGGCGGATGCATTCATAGAGCAGAAAGAACCTGGTGGCATAAGGTCTTCCACTAGCAAGATGGTTTCTTTTGGGGAAATGTTTATATTTTGCAATTTCTAGAAAGCCAGAAAATGGGCTCTGATTTCATAGCCAGCATTTTGATAAAATGCCACAAAATAAGGGCTATAGAGAGATTTTTACAAGTCAGATTTTTGTTCCCCAAATCTTTTAAATGAAGCCAGGGATGCCCAGTTCTCAACACGTGGCCCCAGTGGAGAGGAACAACGCTGGAAAGGCCTTCTAAGCCGGATGGCACTCTGAATCCCCCTGAAGGCCTCTCCCCTACAGACATAGTGTGACAGGAAGCAAAATGCCAATGTGCAATCTTTTTTAAGAAGCTTTTAAACAGTGTAATAAAGTTGGCATTGAGAACAACAGTAGCCTCATTCTGAGGTTTCCTAAGGCTGAATTGGCACGCTTGGACTTGCGTTTTGCTCACATGGAAAGAATTGTGGACCTGAAAATCGTAAGAGGTACCATTACAAGTCACTAGGAACCATCTCAAAGAGCAGCTTCTTTGGGCGACAGGCAGAGAAGAGGCTGAGGTCGGGCGCTGTCGCGTGTGTGTGTGTGGTCGAGCCGTTGGCTGGAGCCGCCGGTCAGCCTGGGACGCGCACGTGTGTCACAGTCGCTGCTGGAAGATGCGAGAATACAGCGGGAGCTCGTTGTGTTCGTAATGTATTCCACAATGGCCAGTCCAAGTACTATCTATTTTTTTATCCAGAGGCTTAATTAAATGGTGTGATGCAGTGATGTATGAGAATTAAGACAATGAAATTCTTTATTTCTGGGTGGAAAGATGCACCAGATTAATATGTTTAAAAAAAGACAAAAGTTCTCACAACCCCCTTTCCCATCTCGCACTGTTTGTTTTCGATTGGGCTTGGGGAAGAGATGTTTTTCTTAACTGTCTCTTTGTTTGAACACTTTTTTTGTGGTTCAAGTGCTGTTTTGTGTGTTGGGACCAAACAGTTGTCAAATAAACTTTACAAGCAAGCATCTAAGTTGAGTTTTCCAAGTGAGTGTTGTGTTTGTTTGAGGGGAGGGACTATAAAGTTCCCTCACTTCTCACCCCTCAGAACATCTGACTGAGGGCGGCGGGGAGAGCAAACTGGCCTGCCGTCTGGGAGGCCCTTTTAATTTGGCACCGGCCCCAGCAGGTGACTGCACTGTTGGCCCTTTGTCATCAGGACCTTCCAAGGTTTCCAGCCTAATGCCAGCTGATAATCATGTGTGGGGAAACTACAATAACCACAAAAGCCCTCTGGGATCTCTCTCTCTGGGGAAGAAATCCATTTTGCAGGCTTTCTTGATTTTGGTCAGTGCCAGGCAGGTGCTTTTTTTTTTTTTTTTTTTTTGGTGTGAGCTAACATCTGTGCCAGTCTTCCTCTATTTTGAATGTGGGATGCCTCTACAGCATGGCTTGACCAGCAATATGTAGGTCCATGCCCAGGATCTGATCCCATGAACCCTGGGCCACCAAAGCAGAGCACGAGAACTTAACCACTATGCCACCGGGCCAGCCCCCAGGCATGCTTTTTGAATAAGCGCATTTGGAAAAGACTCCTTTCACAGATGCTATTGTGAAACCCTTCCCCTGAGACCACCATGACTGACACCCCTCACACCTCCACCCCATCGCAAGAATCTCAAAGGACCCAGAAGAGACTTGAATGTTTGGTGAATTGCTTCTTAATGAAGTGCAATATGTTTTTCAAAGTTCAACCTTAAAAAGCTCTTAAAAACCTTTGGCAATCCTTTCAAAACACCTTCCATGGTAGCACATTTTTGCAGAAAAACTTGAGCTGCCGCCCTGCCGCTTTAGAGTGGGGCACGGAGGGCTTGTGGGTCTAAATTGGGGTTTGGAGTAGGGCGTTGCGTTCTCTCTCTCTGCGGATTTCCCATCTGGTCTGGAGACGGAGCTTGAGGATGGCTGGGGGAAGGCAGCCCGTCCCTGCCCAGGAGATGGTGTCATTCTCCAGGGCCAGACCCCAGACGTGTGGTTAACCCTGCCGGTTCCCTTTCCCGCCAGGAGCATCATGCTTTGGGACCTCTCTGGTTTCTGGCTGCTCCACGTGGGCAAAGACTGAGCCATGGCTCAGACTGGACGCATTCCGCTTCCCCCCACAGAAGGACCCCCTTCGCTTCCGTCCGCTCTGCGGTTGGGACAGGGCTGGGGGAGGGGCAGGAACCCTGACCCGCTGCCCCATAAACCTGCGGTCGGTGTGGTCCCCACCCCTGCTTTACTTGACCTCGCACTCTCCTGCACGGCTTTCCTCCAGGCCTGTACGATGGCTGGCCAACCTCCGGGCTGCCGATGTGACCACAGCATCAGCCTCATCTGACTCCGCTCTGCGGGGGGAGAGGCTGGGAAGGCCGATCCGATTTGCTAACACTTCAGGGCCAAGGGTCGAGTCTCTTTCCCAGGAGAGTTTCCCGGGGAGCCGGGCAGCCCCGAGGAACAGCTAGGGTTGGAATATGAGGGAACCTGGTCGCCTTTGGGACGAAGCTGGCATTATCGAACTGTCAGGAGAGAAGATCCCTCAGTTTTCCGGTGCGTGAGATGAGGAGCTTAGATCTCAGGCCAGAGATCCAGGGCCAGAACTTTCCTCAGCAAGAGGAAGAGAAGGAGTCACATTTCCAGGAAAGCAAGGATTTGGGAATGAGGCATTCAGGGCACAGAGGAGGAAAAGGGGAAGAGACAGCGGCAGGTGGAAGCTGAGTAGCCGGCTGCATGGGGGGAGCCAGCCAGGGGGACGGCAGTAGGGGGGGGCCCGGGCTGGCAGGGCAGACCTTGGCCCCATCTCTTCCAACTGCGACAGGCAGCTACAGGCCTCTTCTTCCATCGCTGCCAGGAAGCCTTCCCAGCTGCAGGCCTGGCATGAGGGGAGCCCCCACTCCCACCTCCCGCCCTTTCTCCCTCTCAGTTTCTGATGTCACAGCGAGCGCAGACGAGTCCACCCACAGACCACACGGTCCCCGCCCTCGGTGTTAGCAGCCGCTGAATCTGGTGTGTCCAGGCCACACATGGAAGCAGGAAAGAAGTTTCTGGAAAGAAATGTCCGTCCTCAAGTAGAATTCCTGTTTGCTTCTGTATGTGGGGATGCCAATGCGGTTTTGCACATGGACTCTGAGGCCTCCCCCTTGCTGACCCTCCGCCCTCTGCTGGCTGAGGGCCCCAGGTTTTGTTGGCTGTCAGCTGGAAGCCACCTGCAAATCTTGGAGGCCGCCCACCGTTCCCTGCCATATGGGCTTCCTCAATATGGCAGCATAGTTCACCAAGCCAGCGAGGAGAATCTCTCCAGTCCGCCAAGAGGGAGCCTTACATAATGTCACGTAATCAGGACAGTGACCTCCCAGCATCTTCGCCAGCTTCCATTAGTTCCAAGCAAGTCACAGGTTCACCTCCTAGATGATCCATAAGTGTTTGATGAATGAATGCATGACTGACGTAGGAGGCCCAAGATATCCAATCCAGCTCACAGGAAGAAAGGCTCCTGGGCTAAACCTTTCGAGGGTCAACAACCAAGCTTCGAAGCTGCAAGGGCCCTTAAAGACCGACCAGTCCAGCCAGCCCCTGCCTGCACACTGAGGTTTACAGATGGGGAACGTGAGGCTGCAGAGGGTGAGCCCAGGTCACTCCATGGCACAGCTGAGCCGGAAGCCCTGGTCTACGCAGCTCCAAAGTCCAGTCTTCACTAAGCCCAGTGTGGGGACCTGATGAGTAAGACGTGGACCCAGCCATACCTTCCTGCCTCGGACTCGGGCTCAGACAGGAAGACCCCTGTGGGGGAGTGGTTCTCAAATCGGAGAGGGCATCGACTCGCCAGAGAAACATGTTTAAAATGCAGGCTGTCTGCTAAAACCACTGGCCTGGGCTCTCAAAACCATAAGGGTCATGAGAGAGAGAGAAAAATGGAAGGAAACCAAAGAGACGTGGCCTTGAAAAGCCATGCTTCCTCCTGGGCCAGATCTCAGAGAGGGAAGGAGGACAATCGCCATAACGGCAAATATCAGGACAATCAATGGCATGCAATTACTGGAAAACAGGATGGTGTCACTGGACTTGGAGAATTTTTCTGCAAGATGAGAGGGAACGCCCGCGTTCTTTAACACGTGCTGAAGGATTTAAGGGCAAAGCGACGTTAAGGCTGCATCTAAAATCATTCTGGGGAAAAAAACCAAACGTGCAGATAGAGAACGGGAATAAAGCAGAGGCAGCGAAGTCCCAGCCATCAGTGACTCTGAGCGCCAAGGGCATACGGGGATTTTTTTGTACCGTTTTAAAGACAACTCTTCTGTAAGTCCAAAATGATTTCAAAATTAAAAATCATCTTAATATTGTTGCACTGGCTGCCTGGGCCTCTCTGGAGACAGAGGCCCCAACGTCGGGCAGTTAGGTTCAGGTGCTGACTGGCCCCGGGGCCACGCTTCCGCCAGCCCCGCCCGGAGCCTGAAGCCACAGAAATGCTCCCTCAGGACTGTCTTCCCTTCCGAACACGCAGATCGTGGCTCACATGGGTCAACAGTTGCTGCTCCAACCTGAACAAACAGCTCTTGGGTGAAGCAAGTTAAGAGCATGCTGGGGGCCACAGGGGCCTGGCAGTCCCAGCGCCAGCTCGATTTCTTTCTGGCCTGGCCTGCCCGTGGGGCTGGGCTGGATGTCGGAGAGAGAAGGGGACACAGAACATTGAATCGGCCTGGGCATAGGGTCGGGGTCTGGGTTCTGTCCCGGCTTTGGTGAGCTTGCTGGAGACCTTAGCAAATCCCTGCCCTTCTTTGAAAGCCTGTTTCTGATTCTTTAAAAGGCAGGGGACACTTTAACTTCCCAGCATCCATTCTCTCTCTTCTGGCACAACTGGGCTGACCCCGCCCCTGGCTCCAGGGTCAGCCTTTGGACCCCAGCTTGACTAAGCAAAGAGCCACACCCCTCTGGCCCAGCAAGTGATTCCGGGCTGGGCATGTGACTGTTTAAAATGAGACATGGGGCCCAAAATGGAGTTGCTTATGCTAAGTCCCACATCACCAAACTGAGACTTGACTACAGTTTCAGCTCTCCCAGAAATGGAGTCTTAAACCAGTCAATTAGCAATCACCTGGCCAGCACTAGTTAGGTACCTGCCTGATTGACCTTGCAAGAGCCAGTCTGAGTCCAAGTGACAGCGTGTGAAGCCCTGGACCCCATGGGACCCTAGATCTCTGGACATCCCAGCCCAGGAGCCAGGAAATGCCCTTACTTTTTGCCTGTTTAGATTCAATTTGGGTTACTTACAACGCAGAGAATCCTGATGCAGAGAGCTCCCGATGCAGGGGGCTCCAGCTCCGCCTTGGGGGCAGCGGGGGCCACCGAGAGGCCCTCTCAGCCGGGCGGCCCCCACTCCCACACCACCCCAGCCTCGCCTCCTCCAGCTCCGCTCCCTGCTGCGTCTCACCGTGGACATGTGTCCTCCCTCAAGAAAGTCCCAGAAACCCAGACTCGGTTAGCTGCTCTCTCCCACGCTCCTGCGGCCTCTGTGCTCACTGCTCTCCTAGTGGGATGGAGGAATTCCACAGCTGTTCATCAAAACCCAAACCCGATAGGGCTGCTCTTCCTGTGGGAGGAGAGGCAATGAGCCACATCCATCTTATTAGCAGAGAAATAAAGCTTCGTGGGTGGGAGGTGAGCCCCAGAGCTGGCTAGCAGCACGGCCGAGCCTTCTCTCGAAATGCAGCGGGCCTGGAGTCGAGGGACTCCTGAAGTGGGAGGGACATTGCTGGTGAAGAGACCTGGAGATGGGGGGCAGCCATCCACATGACAGAGCTGGTGGAAATGGGAAATGGAATAGTCAATTCTTCACTGGTCTGTGTGGCTGAGACGTGAACCCCCTCCCACCTCCATGAATGTTCTGGAAGCTGGGCTTCACTTTCTGAGGCCTGGTACAGCTTGGTCTCCGTGCTGAGTAGGGAAGAGGGAGCTGAGTTCCATGTCAGCCTTGGTGAGAGTAGAGGGCGGGACGCCTTGGAAGGGATGTGAGGGTCTGGAGAGCGGTGGGGAAGCCATCAGGGTCGGGGGTGGCTGTGGGACCCTAAGCCCGGGAGAAGATGCGGACATCCAGCGGAAGTATGTGGAACGGGGTTTCAGCTGACATTTGGGTTACGACAGCTTGTCACACCGCACTGTGTTCACGTGTCCCCTCCCTGTCAGCTTTGTGAGGGCAGCACCCAGTTGGCTAATCCTGCTGGTCAGTGGGTTTCGTTCAGACTTAACAGTGGTGAGGCCTCCCCTGCTTGATGTCCATCCCGCTCACTAGAACGTACGTTACCTGAAGGCAGGGCCGTCCCTGTCGGGCTCAGCTCTGTTCCCCAGTACCCGCCACGTGCTGCCTTCACGAGTGGAATGAACGAATGGAAAAATGGCCTGACATTTGTTCCTCAAGCCAGCTTCCCTGCATGTTTTGCCCCAGCCCATGGGGCCCACCCAGTGTCCTGCTGGTGGCACTGGGCATGTCGTAACTGCTTCTTCTCGAGCTGCAGAGGAGCTGAGCTGTGAGCTCCTGCAGGTCAGTGCTGCCCAGCCACTGCAGAATGGAAAGGTTTATAAGAGGCTCAGCTGCTGCCGGCATGGCCATGAGTCACCTGGAATCAATTACAGCTCAACAGGGAATGGGGTGGTGATGTTGCTGGGCCTGGAAATGAGAAACACCCTGAGCCCGGCTCTCACCCTGCTCTCAGACTGGAGTCCTGGCTCTACCACTTACATGCTGTGTGACCTTGGGCTGATCACCCCCCTCTCTGAGCCTCAGTTTCCCTATCTGCCAAATGGGGGTGATGATCCCCCTCCCTCCGTTGGAACAGTGGGTGAAGGAGCACTCTCCTGCTTGATGCAGCTGGCTTCCTTGCCAGCAACTTACTGAAACTGCTCATCAACTGCACCCTATCGCCAGTCCCTTTTCATAAAGTTCTTAAGGTCGCGTGACCTCTGGGTCAGGTTGGATGCTGTGGACACACCCTCCTTGATGCTGCCTGGTGATCTTGCCTCCTCTCCAGCTGCTCCCACGCAGTGTCTCCCCTTAAATATTGGTGTGGGCAAGGGTGTGAAGCTGGAGGAGCTGGGAGAAAGGAGGTGGGACAGACATGCGGGGGGCCGGGTCACATAGGGCCTCAGAAACCCAGGCTACTATGAGGATGGCGGGAAGGTACAGGAGAGTTTCAAACGGAGAAGCAACACACCTGGTTAGATTTGCACTCGAGGAAGGTCATTCTGGCTTCAGAGTGGCTCACAGGTGGACCAGAGAAAGGGTGATGAGAAGAAGGGCCAGTGGCGAATCTGAGAAGTTCTGGGCCCAGGTAACAGCGTGTGAAAGTCCATGAAAGGAGCCAACAGATGGCGTGGCAAGAAGAGCCAAAGAAGCCTTCTGTGGCCCCAATGCAAAGAGAGATCCAAGCGACAGATGCGATGAGGCTAGGAATGCTGGAAGGGGCCAGACCCGCGAAGGGCTTTTAAACCATGTGAAAGAACACAGATTTCATCCTAAAGGCCATGGGAATGGTCTTCAAGAGGGGAATGACAACCAGGTTTGCATTATTCAGAAAAGCACCCGGCCGCTGTGTGGAGCATGACCAGCGCTAAGGCCAGTTAAGAAGCTACTGCAGTTGACCAAGCAAAGATGATGGTGGCTACCCTGGGGGTGTGGCGGTGCGGGCAGCTCCTGGAGAAACTTAGGAGGTAGAAGCTACAGACTTGGCAATTGCATGGATGCGAGGAGGAATAGAAGAGTCCAGGACAAGCCCTTGGGTGACCTTGGGCAAATGGCTGGTGCCCATTCCTGAGATGAAAAACACAGAGGAAGCTGAGGCAGTGTAGGATGAGGGTTGGCTAACTTTTTCTTCAAGGGCCAGAGAGGAGGTATTTTAGGATTTGCAGGCCATGCGGTCTCTGCCACAACTACTCAGCTCTGCTGTTGGCGTACGAGAGCAGCCATAGACGATACATACACAAATGCACTTGGTTATGTACCAAGAAAACTTAATTTACAAAAACAGGTGGTGGGCCGGTTTGCCGACATGATTCAGACATGGCACATTTGATGTACCCATTCTGGATCCAAATGGAGATTCTCGGGAAGCAGTTGGAGAAATGGCCTGAGCATAGGAGAAAGATCCAGGTGAAAGAGAGAATGCAAGAGCAGAGTGCAGATGGCCATCTAAGACCAGGAGAGAGGGAAGAGCAGAATGCCGAGGGCCAGGCTCTGAGGACACGGAAGTGATAAAGGAGACTGGAGGAGGTCCTCCTGAGCAGTGGGAGGTACACCTAGAGAGTGGGGCATCTTGGCGGTCGGGTCAAGTGTGTGTTGCAACATGCTGCAGCAAACTAGGACAGAGTGAGCGCTGAGGTGTGTCAACTGGCTGTAAATGAGGGGTGCAGAATATGCCACCCGAAAATATGCCCCTTTGGCATATGGATTATTTTGAGCTAAAGGCCATTGAGAACCAGCAGAGGCAGGAAAAGGTCTAAAAATGGCACAGAGTTTTCCTTTTGTAAAGGAAATTTCCATTTAGAAAGGAAATTTCCATTTGCAAAAGCTGTCTTCCCTTCCCATACCAGGAAGAGGAGGACTCTTAGCAATGGAGAAGGCAGGACTTAAATCTGCGTAACTAATCTTACTAAACCATCCTTGTTCATGATCCTTTTCCTGGTCACCTTCCTATAAATTGCTTCCCCCGCCCAGGCACCCAAAATGCCTTTTCCTTTGTTTTGGCTAAGATGGTATATAAGCTCAAGTTCTAACCACCTCTTTGAGTTACTCATCGCTGGGTGCTCCCATGTGTACGTGCACGATGCACAGGTTAATAAACTTCTGTTTGTTTTCCTCTTGTTAAGCTGGCCAGTCTCATTTACAGGACTCCAGCTGGAGAACCTAAGACGGGTAAAGAAAAAGGATTTCTCCTCCCCTGGATAACCAAATGGTTACGTCCCTGGTGAGAGGGGTCTGTGACAAGACAGTGACAGAAACCAGATTAAAATAGGTTGAGGAGGGGGCTAGAGATAAGGAAAATGGAGATAGCAAGATAGACGATTCTGTGAAGATGTAAAGAAAGGCGGTGTCTGCAAAGGAAGATGGGATGGGGGGTTGTTTGTCTTTTAATGGGAAAGATTTGTTCAAATGCTGATGGGAAGAGAGGAGACTATTGAGGATACAGGAGGAGGAGGGGAATGAATGGTGGTCCCATCACTAACTGCCTCTGGGACCTTGGACCACTTCCTCATCTGGGAAGTGGACGTGATGATAGGATCTGCCTCGTGGGGTTGATGTGAGGAGCAGACGAGAAAATGTGGACACATGGCTCAGAGCACAGCGACAAAGCCCTCAATACATCTTACTCTTATTATTATGCCCCTTCTCCCAAAGCCTTCCCAAAGGAGCAAGTCTGGGTGTGCAGGACCCTGCGGTCTGCCAGGCTTCCCAGCTTTGCAGGCAGCTCTGATGATGGGGAAGCATCTTGAATCATTACTTTCTTCTGCTCTTCTGTGAAAGCCTAAATAAATGATGTATTTTTGTCTTAAAAAAAAATCAATAGAAATAGCAGGAACATAAGTTAGGTCTACCCCAGAGCTCAGTAGACGGACTAGAGGCAGGATTTTTATGAGGGTTTCGATCTCCCTCGGCTTGTTGGATCGGTGAGTGACTGCTCTCTAGTTGGTCTGGGCTCAGGCCCGCATTTTCTCCAGGGAAGGGAGAGTGGCGGGCCATCTGTAGCCTTTATTTTTATTGCAAGAATGGGAAGCATCTGTGTTGTAGGTTGAATAGTGTGCCCCCGGAGTTCATGCCTACTTGGTCCCTCAGAATGGGACCCGTTTGGAAATAGGGTCTTTGCAGAAGTAATTAAGGGAAGACTCAAGATGAGATCACCCTGGGTTTAGGGTGGGCCCTGTACCCAATGACTGGTGTCCTTAGAAGAAGAGGAGAGGTGGCACTGGCAGTGTCCTGAGGGAGCCTCTGCAGCTTCAGAACGGCAGGAAGTGACGTGCAGGCTGGAGCCTGGGAGGAAGCAGAAACACATCTGAGACCGAGGGGGAGGGGCTGAGGGCATGCTGCCCACTGGGAGGGGCCATCGAACCCAAGACTCCGGGGTCCTCAGAGATGCTTTGTGTCACCTTGACTTGAGAGAAATTCGGATTAACTTTTGATTTATAAATATTTTGAAAACTGCGACCCATTAACGGCCTAAGACTTTTACTTCTAGGAGTTTATCTTAAGGAAAGGTCAGGAACTCAGATGAAGCTTTATCCCTCAGGATGTTTATCGTGACATTATTTGTAATACTGAAGAACTAGAAACAGCCTAAATGTCCAACAATGAGGAAATGGTTAAATAACGGAATATCCCCAAGATGGATTACTAAGCAGCCACTGTAAATATTTATGAAGAGTGTTTAATGTTTACAAAGAGCTTTTAATGACGTGACACAACAGGGATACAATGCTAACAGAAGAAAGAAAACTGGTAATAAAATGGTACAATATGACGTCAATCGTGAAAAAAAAAAGCATAAAAAAAGACTGAAAGGAAATATGCCAAAATGTCAGAGCGATCTCTAGTTGGAGGAATTATGGGAGTTAAAAAAAAAAAAAAACCCAAAGAACAAAAAACTTGTTTATACTTTCTCTACTTTTTAGATGATTCACTATGTACATGGATTCCTTCCACAGTCAAGAAAAAAGTAAAAACTTTATAAAGGCTGCGTACGCGGTTTCTATTTTTATTTTCTCCGATGGATGATTGTACATCAGCGAATCTTGGGTTAGGCTAACTACTGAGGCCGGTCACAACACACTCACACGTACAGAGAGGTCACACGGGCTGTGCCGGGCTGGCTGTAGCAGATGTACATTGTTACACTGGTGGAATTGTTAGGCTGGTTACAATACACCACCAATGACGGGACACGGTTGGGTCAGGCCGACTCTCCCACCGCCGTTGTTGTTTGCGGAGGTCTGTGTGTTAGGCTGGTGAGTGGCGTCCCGCTGGCACTCCCTCCAGTGGCCCCCAGTGGGTGGAGAGCGCCTGGGTCAGCATCTGCTCTGGGTCCCCTTGCCTCGGTGTTGGAGCCTCCAGCTGTCCACTGCCTCTTCCCGGCACTGGGTGTGCCCCAGCCCAGGCCCCACCCCCCCACACCTGCTCCACACACCTGGGGCAGACATGGTAAGGTAACAAAGAGCCAAGAGGAAGTGGACGTGCTCCTGATGGGAACCGTGCCCAGACACAGGAGGGAAAGAAGCGGGAGATGAGACCACGACACCACACACAAGCTCATTCTTTACAGACGGGCCCCTCTGTGTCTTCAAAGCACGTGGGCTGTGTGGAGCCTTCGAGGGTACAGCCCCTGGGAGAGGAGAGATGGAGGATGGGAGCTGTGCCCATTTGGGGCAGGCCTGACAGCAGAGCTAGGAGGGCGGATGGGGGATGAGTCCAATGTGGTGCTCAACTGTTGAAGAGTCACGACTATACACACCTGGGGACCATGCCCCTCCCCCAGTTCATTCGCACGGTGGGTTAGATACAGCTAGATAGAAGTGGAGATATACTTTTTTGAGGGAGGACCTTTCCTGGTGGTTGGATAAACAGTGAGACAGACTCCTGGGTTCAGCATGCTCTGGGGAGGGCCATGCGACGGTGAGGGACTGCCTATTGCTACACTCTGTACAGGACGGCTGGGCCCGCCTGCCGCGCCCACGGCCCCTGGCGGCAGTCACGGGCTTGCCTTCAACCCCTTTGGCCTTGGAGAGCTCTTGGGCCCCAGTGAAATGGGGGCTATGAAGACAAGAGGATGGGAAGGGGGTCCCCATTGCCCGGGGGGCACCCCACGTGGGGGCTACATGATATTGCACTGGGTGGCCCCACAGCAATCCTTGATGAGCGCCAGCCCCGTCTTGGCCACCGTGGGCTTACTAGGTGGGGGCTCTGCTTTCTTCTCTGCTCGGGAGCCTGCAGCAAGGTAGGAACAGAGAGAGAAAGAGGAGAAAAGGGTGAGAGGGAGAGGTGAGGCGAGGAGAGCCCTGATCATATACAGCCCTAGTCCCCTCCCCACTCCTGGCCAGGCCTTGCTTCTACTCCACAGATCAGGTGGTGTGGAGAGCTGGCGTGCTGGTGGTCCTGATGACTGTCGCTGACTGTGGGCCCACTGGCTTTCGTTCCTTGGCTTCCAACCACAGCTTTCAGTCCTATGCACTTCTCCTCACTGTCATATCTGCCAAGCCCAGCACAGGGTCTGGTCTTCAAGAGGTATTTGGTGAATGGATAAATGAGAAATGTTGTTCCAGTCACTTTTTGACTGGAACAACATGAGGGCTCACATCTTTCAATTCTGCAAAATGCATACATTGTCTTTTCGGATGCCCCCATCTCTCATTCTCTGTTCTCTCTCCTTCTGGAATGCTTATTAGACATAAGTTGGACCTACTTACCCTATCCTCCATGTTTCATAATTCCCTTTCATATTTTCCACCTCTTTCTCTCTCTGTGCTGCAATCTGGGTAATTTCCTCACCTCTGTCTTCCAAGTTAATGAATCCTCCTTCAGCTGTGTCACTGTGTTTAATCTATTGAGTTTTTACTTCAGTGATGGTAATTTTTTTAGAAGGCTAATTGTTTGCAAATCTACCTTTTCTTTTTTCAAAGCGTCCTCCTATTTCATTTTGGGGGGTAGTCCTTCTTCTGTCCTTTTAATCATTTTAAATATACTTATTGTCTCTTTTAGATAGTTATTTCTGGTTCTTGGGAAGACAGTCTCTTTGTTGCATCTAATGACTGCCCTCGTGGTGGTTCAAGTCTCCATGAGTTTTAAATTTTTATTGGGAGCTCATCTTCATGGGGGTTGTTTTATCTGTAGGCTGTGTATTATGGGATGCTGTAGGGTTCCTACTGAGCAATTTTGCATTTGCTTTGCTGGGGTCCCAGAGATTTCACTGGTTTTATGTTAGGTTTAATTTTTAAACATGGGATTCCAACAGCAGATAAGTAGTGTAAACTTGGACCCCACACTTGGCCCCTTGCACATGGTACAGTCTTGGTGTTTTGATTTCTTGCTAGAATTCTTTTTTCTATCCATAACCCTACATAGAAGGCAAGTTTCTTTGCTCCTTCTCCATAGGTAAGTGGAGTTTTCCTAATTGGCCTTTCCTGGAAGAGACAGTCCATTGAGGACACAAGGACCTCGTGCCTTTTGATTTTAGGGGCCTGTGGAAGTGATCATGGCTCTTCTCTTTCTTTATCCTCCCACATTCTACAACCGTGTTTTCATGGGATGTTAATGGATGGTCAGGGAAAACTAGGTTTGTGGCTGTAGTAGATAGTGGCAACTTTGGGGTTTTGTCGTCCTAGAAAGATTTCCAGTCCCTTTTCCTCTGGTCACAGCTCATGTCGCTGTGGCTACAGGAGTGGGCATGTGACATAGATCCAGCCAATCACAGTATCCCAGCCTCTTGGGAGCAGTGATGGGCCTAGGAGGTGGGAACATGATCCAGGAAAGGCCAATCAGCATCTTTCACTGAGATTTATATGTTTAGATACCAGGAGAGAGTGTCTGTGGTGTCGCCCCACTGCCGCTGAGCTGTGGTTCTGGAGCTCTGGCCCCACGGAGAAGGCCTGTGTAGTAGGAGAAAATGAAGCTAACATGCAAACTGGGGTGGAGACGAGAAAGGGAGGAAAAGAGATGACATCCTAGCAGTGTCCAGTCCCTGAAGTCCTGGTTCTTGTTGCTCTTCTTCCAACAAATCCCCTTTCTTGCTTAGGCTAGTTTGAATTGGGCATCCATTTCTTATAACCGAAAGCAGCCTCATTGGGTCAACAAAGGGAAGACAGCAGGACCCGTTATCACTTCAGTATGCTAGCGGACATTGGGACCAACAAATAGAGGGTCAAAAACACAGCATTTGCCAAACTTATTTCATACGGAACCCTTTTTGCTCTGAGTGTCTTATGAGGCTAATATTCTGCGAGGCATGCTTTGGGTTCCACTCCTCCAGAGATTCCAGCTCCAGCAGAGGCCAGAGCTCCCTGAGCCTCAGTCCCCACCTTCTTGCCTCAGTGGCCACCCTGCTTCTTCTATGAAACGTATCAAAACACGTGATGAAAGAGCAACAGCTGCTGCCAGGACCAGCTACACAGTTTGTAGAACCCAGTGCAAAAGGAAAATGCGGGGCCCCTGGTTCCAGAATTCTTCTGAGTTTCAAGGCAGCAACAGCAGAACATTAAAGCAAGCACAGTACCCTTCCGGCCTGGGGCGCTGGGAGACGGCACAGCTTGCACGCCCATGAAGCCGGCCCTGCCTGCTGCCATCTGTGCCCTAGTTGGATCTCTAGAAAGCATCCCAGGTCTCTTTTAAATGCCCTTTTCTCTTGGATCGGCGAGGAGGAGGAATAATGTTTGCACTCACTGGCTGGAGATTTGGTTACTTTGTCTAGAGGTTTTAACTTGATTCTCAGGAAATCGGCTATTTCCTTGTCTTCTTCTTGCTCCCTGTGAAGACAGATGTGTAAAGACAAGAGGAAAGTGCAGTAAGCAAGGAAAGCATCAAGGAAGCGATAAAGTGAGGCAAGAGGTTAAGTGTGTGGGACCATGTATCAGGCGTTGTGGATGGTGAGTGCATGTTGTGTGTTATGTGGGGTGGAACATGCATGTTATCATGTGGTATGTATGTTATGTGGGGTGGCATGTGTATGTTGTGTGTGGTGCATGTATGTTGTTTTGTGTTACGTGGGTGGTATGTGTTGTGTGGGGTGGTACATGCATGTCGCATGTGTGGTACGTGTGTATGTGTCATGTGTGGGTGGTACATGTACATTATCGTGTGTGTGGCGTGGGTGGTGCATGTATGTTTTGTGTTGTGGGTGGGTGGCACATGTATGTTATCATGTGGTGTGTGTGTCTTGTGGGTGGTGCATGTATGATGTGTGTGTGGTGCCTGTATGTTGTTTTGTTATGTGTGAGTGGTACATGTGTTGTGTGGGGTGGTGCATGTATGTTGTTTTGTGTTATGTGTGGGTGGTATATCTGTGGCACGTGTTACGTGTGCGTGGTATGCATATGTTGCATGTTATGTGTGTATGGTGTGTGTGTGTTGTGCTTGATGAACCTGCTCTGAAGCAGAGACACGTATCAACAATGGAGTAAATGTCTACTGGTGCTGAGGTGAGACCCCAGGGCAGAGGCAGGGACATCACAAGACCCAGCCTCCCTGTCGGGGGTTCCGTGAGCTGGGCAACACCTCTCCCGACCCTGTACCTGTCAGTCACCCTAGACACCTGTGCTCCCACAAGGTGCTGGCAGGCCTCAGAAGGCAAGTCACCTCAGCTCTTCCAAGGGTCGCCCGGGGCAAAGTCAGAGGGCCAGGTCTGGCTGAGGCCCAGGGGTCTCAGACGACCCAGGAGGACACAGAAAACAAAGAGGGAGTTGCCCTCTGGGTTGGAAGAAGCCCCGTGAGCCTCTTTCCTGTGGAGTGCTCCAAAGGCTCGGCTCCAGGACAAAAATATTCAAGGATCAGCATTCACATCTTTCCCAGGCCGGCTTCCTCAGGGGCCTCCAGCGTTGTCCTGATCAAGGTGGCAGGTGTGTCTGCAAATAGGAGACCCTGGAGGCTAAGAAAGGGCATCGGAGCCACCAAGGACAGGGAAGAGAAAAGAACAAAGCCGGGAAGTGGAGAGGGCAGGCAAGGAAGCCGGTCAGTACGGGGGGCAGGGTTTCTGTAGAAACCAACAGAAGTTTCTAGAAATTGCCTTGATGCGTGAGAGAAAGCTCAGTGAAGAGAAGGTGTAGGAAGCTCTGCCATGTGCTGTGTGATCTAATTCCTCCCGGGTAACCTCCTGGAATGATGTTTACTTGAGACTCAAGGGCCTTTGCAAGACTTTTTGGAGACAATTTGAGTTTCTCTTGAATGTGAAATGGGTCCCCAGGCCACAAAGCTGGGGCTCATTTGGATCCAGTGTGTGCGGAGCATTTGCCACGCCTGTTAGGCAAGGCTGTGGGTCCCCGGAGCAGACGACGGGTTTCGGAAGGAAGCCGAGGGTTGCGTTCCAACAGCCAGTGGCCTGGGGACCTGCCGCCCACCCACCTTAACCGTTCCACCTCTGCGTCGTCCACCAGGAAGTCTCGCTTCTGCACCAGTTTGTGGATCTTCTGGATTAGCTCGTCCTCTCTCTGCTTCTGCAGCTTGGTTTTTTCTTTCTCTGGGAAGAAGAAAACATCAGCAAAGAAACCGCTGAGTGGAACTGTTGAAAGCACTGGAGTCCGAGGGGCCAGGGTTGGAATCCTGGTCTACCATTTTGCTCATGGGGTGAACTTGGAGAAGTAACTTGACCTCTTCAAGCCTCAGTTTCCCCCTCTGTAAAATACACACGGTGAGGCTTAACTGCAGTGACATTAGTAAAGGACTTAGGTGGACTCGGGCTGTGGGGAGAGCTCAGTAAGTGGTACTGATGCTGCCCGGGGGCCGTGCAGACGGCAGAGGGTGAGGAGGGTCTGGTGGGGGGGGGGGGGGGCGTGCGGAGGGAACTACTCTCTCGTGGGAGTCAAGCGATCTGTGAGATGAAAAGCCTCCACGCTGGGGGCGTTAGTCCTGTCCCAAATACCGCGGGCTAGAACACCAGAGAGAAAACACGAGGGCTGGAGATGAGGATGGGGAAAACGAGGAGGGCGGAAATTTAAACCCGCATCAGTCTCGCTCTGTTCAGACTCCTTCAGAAGATCAAAAAATGTGGGGCAGCTTGTCGTCCGCCTGCCTAGGACTGGCGCTGACAATTTCCTCTCGATCTGGAGGCAGAACCAGAGGCGAGGGGAATATATATTTGGTGAGGAGAGAGTGGTGGTCTCTCCCATTAAGCAGAGGGGCAGTGGGGAAGGGGGTGGAATTGCCAGCAGCCCCTGGATTCCAGGCCATCGCCGGTTGACAATGGCGGTGTGACTCCTCCCACGGTGGGTCCCGTGGTCCGATTTCCTACATCACTCGTCAGCACCACTGAGCTTCCCGGCCCCCTGCCAGCGAGTTAACCGTGCGCCCTGGCTCAGCTCGCTCAGGGCGTCATCCGTGGTGTCACTGTCCTCTCCAAGTAACCAGCAAAGGCCCTCCGATATTCCCGAGAGTCCTCTGCCCCTCCCCAGATCTTTGCCAGAGCCACGCAAGGACTGGCAGGGCCCCCAGGAATGGACGCACCTCCGTCCCCAAGTTACTCATCCCCATTTTCTCTCTTCTGCCATTCGGGCACCTCCAGATACTCAGAGGCAGCCCTCCACTCACGCAGCCCTTCCCAGCAGCTCAGGGAGAAGCCGTCTACTCGAAGTGGTCTGTGCCACCTTACAGACCAGTTCCTCACCCACCTGCCCGCAGGTACCGCCCACCTGCCTCCAGGCACTATCCACTTGCCCACAGGCACCACCTCTTGCTTGGTCATGTGACACTCTTGCTGGCCAGCATCACCCACCTACTTCCCCATGAGAACCTCCAGCTTGCCAGCTTCACCCCTGTTTGCTGGCATCCCACACGCACCTAGCTCCTAACATCTCCACGTGCTTGCTGACATGACTCTCCAGCGTGCTGCTCATCTCCTCCAGGCCCAGGGTACCAACCCCCCGTCTCCCTGGGCCATGCTGTGGCCTCCCAACTGGTCTCCCTGACCTGGAGCCTCTGTCCCAACTGTGAGCCCTGGCTGTAGACTCCGATGGCTCTGGCTTGCCGTCCCAGCTCCTCCCCCTCCTAGCTGTGTGACTCGGGGCACGTTCCTCAACCTTGCTGAGCATCCAGCCTCTCAACACCGATAATCATAACGTTGTGGCAATTTTAAGGGAGATAAACAAGTAAAATACTAGGCTTCCTGCCCGGTGCATAATAAGGGCTCATCAACAGTCAGCTGCAATTATTATAAGCGATTATTTACATCGTCCCTGTTGTTTTAACGACTCAATGCCCTCCAGATTAAGTATTGGCTGCATCGGGCACACAAACAAAATACTTATTTAATGGAGGACAAGCAAATATAGCGTAAGTGTGCAAATGGTAAGTGCTTAGTAAATTGCAACTATTATCATTCTACCTGTATTACCATGAGCTTTACATTTTCCTTTAACCTAGGTTTCTCAGCCTCGACACTATTGGTGTTTGAGACTGCGTCATTCCATGTCGTGGGGGGCTGCCCTGTGCCCTGCAGGATGTCGACCAGCATCCCTGCCTTCTACCCACTCAATGCCAGTAGAAGCCCCCACCTTTTGTGACGACTCAAAATGCCTCCAGACACGGCCAGTGTCCCCTGGGGGGGCAAGTGGTCCCTGGTTGAGGACCTCTAGTTTAATCTTTTCCGACAACCCTATGAAGGCGATCCTATTTCTGTGTCCCTACAGCCAGCTCTAAGCATCCCCTGCTCTGAGGCGGCAGTGGTGGCAGTGGCGCTGGGACGAGACCTCTTGGCTTGTCCTTGAGAAGCCCTCAAGGCAGGGACGGCCCCAGGGGTTGTCTTGGATCACAAGTCACCCACACCCACCATTGAGGAGCTGGAGAAATAGGATTTTCTGGGCAGTTCAGCGTCTTCTTTCCTTAATACTTTTATTGATGTGTTGCTGGGAGCATTTTTTTCCCCCTAAAATCAGCCACATCCATTGAGGAACGCAGAGGGACTCTCACCGAGGAGTCCGAGGAGACAATGGGAAGAGGTGAGGAGGAAAGAAACTAATGTCTGAATTTCCGCATGAAAGTGACTGGGACGGTATGCTTTCCTGGTGAATCCTTGGGACTGGCGTCGAGGACCTGGGCACTGTTCTAACCAGCCCTGTGACCTTGTCCCAAGTGTTTCATGGCGGGCCAGTCAATGGCATTTCGGGCAGGACACATTCCTCTTGTGGGACTGTCCCCATGCTGCAGGTTTTTGTGTCCCTGGCCTCCGCCCTTTGAGTGTCAGTACTGATCTCGTCTTTATTTAAGCTTTTGGTGTTTTGTTCATCCATGGATTTTTTTTGCAAGAATTTTGATATTTTAGATATTGTATTAAAACATTATCGATCCTGATTACTGAATGTTTTGTGCTGGAACTGAGCGCCTTTTCTCCTCACTCTAGTCCACGTCCTGGTCAGTCACACACCCCAATCACTGTCAGCCAAAGACCCCCACTTCCACTTGAGAGGCTGCTACGGCCCCACGTGGAGCCACTGTGGCCTGAGGTGGCCTTGGCTGACCTGGTGGCCACACACTCATGTGTCCTCTGCCTCAGTGCCTCCCACATGTCCTGCTGAGCCAACAGTGGGTTCTGGGAATCTTTCCTCCCAAGGGAGATGCCAGTCCATATTGGGTCCATCAGAGTCTCCTGGGAAGTTGAAAATTGGGACGCAGAGGCCCTGGGCATCAGGCTCTTGGGTGGGAAATCATGGAAGGGAGATGGAGTGGCCTTGCTTGACTCGTGCACCAGAGGGAGAAAATGGAACCTGCACCCAGAATAGAGAGAGAAAGAGAGCAAGAGCCCAAGAACATTCCACAGCTCTCCTGCTTCTGGTTCCAGACCCTTGTGAGGTTGGGGTGAGCTTCACGCTGTGTTGGGATAAATAGTACACACCCCCTCTGATTTCATATCTACTGGGATTCCATTTGGAAATAGGATCTTTGCGGATATTGTTAGTTAAGACGAGGTCATCCTCATGAGGGTGGGCCCGTAGTCCAATGACTGGTGTCCGTGAAAGGAGAGGAGAGGACAGAAGATATACAGAGAAGAAGGCCATGTGACCTGGAGGCAGAGATTGGAGACAGGCAGCGACAAGCCAAGGACCACCCAAGATTGACGGGCGCCACCAGGAGCTGGAAGAGGCAAGGAAAGATTTTCTTCTCGAGACTTCGGAGGGAGCAGGGCCCTGCCAACAGTGTGATTTCGAGCTTCTGGGCTCTAGAACGGTGAGAGAATAATTTTCTGTTGTTCTAAGGCACTAAGTTTGTGGGAATTTGTTACGGCAGCTACAGGAAACTGATACAATGCTCTAGGGCTCCAGGAGTCTTCACTGTCCTTCTGGTAATTGCCGGTTTTGTGCTTACATAAGATTGGATGGGTTTTTGTAGCTTTCAACCAAACTTTCCCTTGGAGGGCTATAAAACAAGAGAATTGAATTGGCCTGCTGGCTCTCAACTCTAGCTGCTTATCAGCATCCTGTGAGAAGCTTTTAAAAATGACCGATGCCAGAGCCCCACACTAATCGAATGGGAATTTCCAGAAGCTGATGTCTGGACTTGGTGATTCTCTTCCCCAGCCTTTTATTGCTTTATGTTTGACATTTAACTTTCCGTGGCAACAGTTTTATTGAGATATATTTCACACACCAAACAAGGCGCCTGTTGAAGTTGTTATTTGCAGAGTTATGCAACCATCGCCACAATCGATTCTAGAACATTTTAATCACCCCCAAAACAACCCTGTACCCACGAGCTGGCACCCCCTATTCGGTTAGGACTGTCTGCTCACTTGTGTATTCCCGTGGCCTGCACAGTGCCTGGCGCCCAGGAAATGCTCATTCACGCAACGGTATCTGAAAGTTCTAATGTCACGGCATACGCTGTCATTGGAACGAGGATGGGTTGAGCGCTCCCGCTCTTTGATCTGTTAATTCACGGCAGAGTCACAACCAGCACGGGAGGGGGGCGTTATTGGCCTCATTTTACACACAAGGACTTCGAGGCTCAGTGAAATTGCGTTGTTCCGTGAAGGTCATCTAGCCGGTAATCCTGGATTCAAACCCAGATCACTGGGCTTGGAAGTGGTGGTTCTTAGACGGGGCGGGACAATTTGCCCACCTACCCGCTCCACCCCCAGCCAGGGGATATTTGGCAGCTTCTGGAGACGTTTTCGGTGGTCACCCCTGGGACGGAGGGGGATGCCACTGTCACGTGGTGGGTTGAGGCCAGGGACGCTGCTAAATCCTGCAACACACAGGACAGCCCCGCTTCCAATGGAGAATTAATTCTCCAGCCCCAAGTGTTCCTGGGGTCGAGGGATCTGGAGCAATGCCCCATTCTAAACGGTGTCCTGCACTACTGGTGCAACAAGGGCTACCCTCCCTGGTACCCGCTGTGGGCTGGGCGCTCTCTTTCCCCTAACTTGTGGGCACCTGAGAGCAGAGAATCATTTTCTCTTCATCGCTGCATGCCCAGCCCCGAGCTCAGGGCTGGAGGCAGCGCGGCCTCGAGACATACTTACTGAACTGGTAGGATGGCAAAAACAGTCAGTTCAAGGCCAACGGGGGTGCGTATCTGGCCTGTGCTGCTTCTTGCCAAGGCCAAGGCCAGGTTCTTGAGACAGAGTTGGGTTGGTTCATTCTATTAACCTTCCTTTAGCACCTCCCAGGTCCTCATTCCTGCCCTCAAGGAGCACTGCTTCTAGAGAGGGACGTGTGTGAGTCAACAGGCTATTATTTATTTATTTAATTAGCCCTGAGCTAACATCTGCTGCCAATCCTCCTCTTTTTGCTGAGGAAGACTGGCCCTGAGCTAACATCTGTGCCCATCTTCCTCTACTTTCTATGTGGGACGCCTACCACAGCATGGCGTGCCAAGTGGTGCCATGTCTGCACCTGGGGTCTGAACCGGTGAATCCCGGGCTGCTGAAGTGGAACGTGTGCACTTCACCACTGCGCCACTGGGCCGGCCCCTCAACAGGCAATTTTTTGATAAGTTCTTTGATAAGAGTAAGCCCCCGGAGGGCACCCAACCCAGCCTGGATGGGCGGGGAAGGCTTTCTTGGAAGAAGGGGCCAAACAAGCTATGAGCTGAAGAATGGGTAGAAACTTGTTCAGGTAATGATAACAATAACAGCAATAATTTATTCAGCACTTACTATAGGATGGGAACTGAGCTAAGCACTTTACGTATTTTTCCCCTCGGTCCACCCGACAACAACCCTACGAGGTAGATACCACTATCGTCCCAGTCTACAGATGAAGAAACCGAGATTTAGTGAAGTAACTTGCCCAAGGTCTTGTCATTAATAAGTGACAGATGTAGGTTGGACTGCAAAGTCAGAGCTCGTAATCACCATCCTCTGTCCCCAGACAGGATAATAATAATGGCGATTGCCAATATTTACTGGATGCTTACTTTGGATCAGACATCAAGCTAAGCGCATGGCTTGCATTGCTTCATTAATCACAATGAGACGTACACCCAACAAGCTAGATACCGTTGATGTTACTACCCCATTTTCAGAGGAGGAGAAACCGAGTCTCAGAGAGAGAAAGTGACCTGCCAAGGTCAAGAAGGTAGCCAGAATTAGGACTTGAACCGGGTCTACCTGACACGGAGTCGTGTTTGAATCGTGATCAGGGAGCACCACATTGCGAGAATGAGGCCACGCTAGGAGAAGGGACGAACTCTGACTTCCAGACCTAAGGGGTGGACACACGGCCGGCTGGGGGCTCTGAGCAGCTACGTGCCGGGGGTGGAGGCTCAGATGTTTACCTGGAATGGCGACCAAGTTCTGTAGCTCCTGCTTCAGGTCCATGATGTCATTACAGAGCTGGATGTCATCCATCCTGGGGAAACAGGACACCGCACGACAGCAGGTTACACCGACAGAACATTCTACACCCTGTGCATCACCCGGGTTTCAACAAAGAGGGTTTGTGGGAGGGCGCTGTCCTCTGTGTGAGCCACACATGCTCTTTATAAAAGTTTTCCCCTAAAAGAAGACGGACAGAAACTGCCCGTTACCCCGCTGCTTAGAAATGATCTAATCGCCGTTAACAACACCTTGACAGAGGAGTTCTTTCCAGTCTTCACGTGCCTGGTGAGCTCATGTTGCAGGTTTGGTGTCTTATCAGCTATGTTAAAAAATGTTAACCATTACAGAAATTGACAATATAGAGAAAAATCGGTCTCTGTCCTTTAGAGAGAACCGTTGTCAACAGTTTGAAAAATATTCCTCCAGGGTTTTTTAGAGGTTAAATGTTAAAGTTTTTAAAATGCTTATACCACCATACACGACATCATTTGTTAATGTATAAAAACATTTTGTGGGGCCAGCCCGGTGGCGTAGCAGTTAAGTTGTACGCTCTGCTTTGACGGCCTGGGGTTCTCTGGTTTGGATCCTGGGTGCAGACCTACACACCACTCATCCAGCCATGCTGTGGTGGCGTCCCACATAGGAGAACCAGAAGGACTTACAACTATGTACTGGGGGGCTTTGGGAGAAAAAAAAAGAGAGAAAGATTGCAACATATGTTAGCTTGGGGCCATTCTTCAAAAAAATAAAAACTGGGGCCGGCCCAGTGGTGCAGCTGTTAAGTGTGCACATTCCGCTTCTCGGCAGCCCAGGGTTCACCAGTTCAGATCCCGGGTGTGGACATGGCACCGCTCGGCAAGCCATGCTGTGGCAGGTGTCCCACATAGAAAGTAGAGGAAGATGGGCATGGATGTTAGCTCAGGGCCAGTCTTCCTCAGCAAAAAGAGAGGAGGATTGGCAGCAGATGTTAGCTCAGGGCTAATCTTCCTCAAACAAAAACAAAAACAAAACATTTTGTGATTTTCCTTTTATTTCCTTGATATATCTTGGGATCTTTCCACGTCAGGACATGTAAATCTCCTCATTTTTAATGGCTGCATAGTATTCCATTATATTGATATACAGTGATTTATTTATTCTCCTGTTCATAGACATCTTGGTTGTTTCCTAATACATCTCTAGGATAAATTACTAAAAATAAAGAAATTCCTAGAAAAAAATAAAATCACTGGGTCAAATTACATGAACACTTGCATTTTTCAGAGGAATTTCCACATTGCCCTCCAGAGAGAAGAATTATGCATGATATTCCCACCAGCAGTATGACAGAACACTCACTGCCAGAGTCTTAGGAATTGGGTGGAACGTACAATTTTGCAGTATGCATTATAGTTGTGTGTGTGTGCTACAATATTGATTCATCCTGCTGTCAACAACATTTGTAATGGCCGCCTGAAATTTCACCACGTGGCTTTATCAGGGCTGTTTTCACTATGCCCCTATCTTGGTCACTTAGGTGGGGTTTTCAGGTTGTTTGTGCTATTTTAGCCACTGTAGGATGAACATGGATTCATTTAGAGCTTTTTTCTTCGTGTTGGATTATTTGGCGTGGGGGCTATAGATTCTCAGATGTGGAACCACTGAGTACAAAGGGCTTGATATGTCTATAGTCGTTGAGGCATATTTTCAAATCGCTTCCTCTACAGGGGTTGGGGGTGTGTGCCTTCATTCTGCACGTCTTTATTGAGTATTCACTGTGTCTGCCACTGCCATAGGCTCCGGTGATGCCCCAGCCTCGCCCGCCCTCATGAGCTGACATTTAGGCAGGGAGGGGGGACAGGGGGAGAACATAAATATAATGGAATGGAGACAGAGTGGGCCACTTTGGGCTCATCCTCCTCCCGTCCCCAGAAGGGACAGAGGGAAGCGTTAATATTCTCAAAGGGCTTGACTGAGACCACAATATTAAAGGGGGCAGGACCAGGACTGGAAATGGACGCATCTGAGTCCACTGATCTTTCTGCCTCCTCCCGCAGCATCTTCGTCAGGAGCCTGGTCTGCTGCCTCTGTTCAGAAGTGCCATCTGCACACCAGCTTGGGGCCCCCTGCCCTTTGCTGGTCAAGAACTGCCCATGTCACCCATTCTGGTCCCAGCATCCTAGCTTTCAGGACAAGTGGCAGGAACATCTCGCTTCAGCCTGTGTCTCCTGTTGCCAGAGACGCACCAAGCGTTTGTCAAGCCCTGCCCTGGATTGTCCTAGCAGGTGGCAGCTGCCTCGAACGAGCCTGGGAGCTTGCCAGGAGGGCACACAGTGTTCCTGTGGGTTCCTGTTGTGGACCATTCAACTGGAGGGGCTCCAGGATCCTTTCCCACAGCTACTGCGGAGATCCAGCTACCTCGGTGGTTCTCACTGAGGACGATTTTGATCCCTGGGGACATTTGGCAATGTCTGGAGACATCTTCGGTTTTTACAACTGGGTGTGTGGGGGGACTGCTCCTGGCATCTAGCGGGTGGAGTCCAGGGATGCTGCTAAACATGCTGCAATGCACGGGACGGCCCCCTCAATAGAGAATTAACTGGTCTAAAGTGTCAATCATGTCGAAGGTGAGAAATCTTGTGCTATCACCACAGAATTGACAGACATGTCTTATTGATGATTTTCAAGAGGGGAGACAAGGAAAGATGACAAAAGGAACAAAGCAGAGCCAGGTAGTGGTTAGAAGCAGGAGTTTCGGCACCAAACAGCCTTAGCTCAAAGGGGCCGTGGGCCAGGATTTACCTTCCTTGATGCTCATTTTCTTTCTTTCTTTCTTTCTTTCTTTCTTTCTTTCTTTCTTTCTTTCTTTTTTCTTTTGAGGAAGATTAGCCCTGAGCTAGCATCTGCCAATCCTCCTCTTTTTGCTGAGGAAGACTGGCCCTGAGCTAACATCCGTGCCCATCTTCCTCTACTTTATATGTGGGATGCCTGCTACAGCATGACCTGACAAGCGGTGCCATGTTCGCACCCAGGATCCGAACCAGGGAAGCCCGGGCCGCTGAAGTGGAACGTGCAAACTTAACCACTGCGCCACCGGGCCGGCCCCAGCTCATTTTCTTCATCTTTAAAATAGCCACGATAATAGTACTTCCTGGGATTATTATGCACATCAAGCGCTGAGCCCGTGCCTGGGACACACATGGTAAAATGCTCAATAAACAGTTTCTATTATTACTTATCAGCTGTTAGAAAGAAGCTGGGAGACAAAGGGAAAAAGAAAATGATGCTGGATAAGCAGTTTATCTGACACATGGAGCTAATGTGTACAACCTTTAAAAAAACCCGCTAATGATTGTGGTCCCCTCTATAAAACTTTTAAATAACATTCTTATCTGTTTGCAGAACAGATCCCTGGTTGGTGCAGAAATTTTGGAAAATGCAAAGAAGTATGAAGAAGGAACCTAAAATTATGCGTAACCTTGACCCACGTGCACCCAGAGGGCCCTGTTCCCTCCAGGTGTTCCGTGTGGTTCTTGCCTGTAACCCAGGTGTGGTTGGCTTGCCTTGGGGACCTTAGCCCTCATGCTTTGTCCATTCAAAACACTGCTCAGCATGCCACTGAGGCCACCCAAATGGATCCAGAGCCACCCCATGTTAATGAGTAAGGCGGAATTTTTCTGACGCTCTCACTGGGACTCAAGAGGCAGAACTCCATAAAAATCCGTATTGGACAGCACTGGCATGTGCCTCAAGTTTCTCTCTTACTGCCAGCTTCCCACCCTTCTCTCTCTCAATGCCTCTCCTTTGCGCCTCCCGGCCAAAGGAGGGCCCACAGATCCCAAACAATTCAGCTCTGATCTTCAACTTACAAACGCCAGGCGGCAACACCAAACCCTGATGGTTCTTCTTTCTTTCCCCAAGAAAGAAGCTTGTTCCCCCATGCCAAGCTGTCTCAGAATAGTCACCTGGTAAAAGTCAGGTCTTTTTCTGGAAGATGGAGAGATGGGTGCTGCCATGAAGGAAAACACAAAGCCAACGTTTACGACACATTTCCTGCGTGCCAGGCACTGGCACTTTCCATGCACAAACTCATGTAAATTGCCACAACAGTCCCGTGAGAGAGGAGCTTTATCTCTACTTTACAGGAGAGGAAAGAGAAGTTAAGCAACACGCCCAAAGTTCCACACAGGGGAGCGGCCGTTGGGATTCAGCCCGAGCTCTCACTCTTGACCGCTTCACTCGGTGTCTCCTCTCCAGGTGGCTGCATGAGTTGTGGCCGACATGGTTGGCTGCCCACTGAACGGACTTCTCCCCACCCACGTCCTCCCAGAGCACTGATCGGTTAGGGAGCCACTGTCTCAGCCCCCGATGGAAGCCAGCTGTCTTTGTCTTTTCAGGCTGCCAGAACAAAAATATGACAGAATGGGGGGCATGAACGACAAACCGATTTCTCACGGCTGTAAAGGGCTGGGAAGGCCAAGATCAAGATGCCAGCTGATGAGGACCAGGTGACCTTCCTCCAGGTTTCAGATGGCCACCTTCTGGCTATATCCTCGCCTGGTGGAGAAAGAGGTCCTCTCTCTTTTAAAAGGGCGCTAATCCCATTCATGAGGGCTCTACCCTCATAACCTGTCACCTCCTAAAGGCCCCACCTCTTAACCCTATCACAGTGGAGATGAGGGTTTCAGTGTATGAATCTGGGGGGGGACAGAAACATTCACTCCATAGCCATGGCAAGCCCATGTGCCTTTGCCGGACACCCACTTTTTCCCTTGCAGCTAGAGGTAGCTGTGAGACCACGGCAGGCCAGGGAGATACAACAGGAAGTCTTTTTGGGGGTGCTCCCGGGGAAGACGATTAGAGTCTGGAGTGCTGCCCCCTTATGGTCCTGAAGCTGCTGCAGCCACGGTGGCAAGAATGGCATAGGGGAAGCGAGGAAAGGGCCAGACCCTTGAGGACATCCTTGAGCCACCCCACTGACCCTTGGACCACCTGTGTCTAGACTTCTTGTTGAGTAAATCTTAAATAGCCTTATGATTTATGTAGTGACCA